GTCATCCCACGTCATCTTCTTGCGCATAATCACGGAGCGTGGGAAGGGAGAGATGGGTAGTGGTCGCCTGCGATGCATTAGTGCAGTTTCGCGTAACGATAAGTCCAAGACAAACCTGTGAAGAAGACTCTCTCGAAATCACTGAACGCCCTGGTACAACTTCATTCCCATCTGGTACTGCAACCAAGTGGTTTTCTAAAATCGAACGGCCGGGTTGCTGCCAGTATGGGCCGACGCTGTGCAGTGGGTCAAGGCCTTGGCTATAAGCGTTGATTCTCTTTGTGAGTGACGGATAGCCGGTGAAGCGGAACTCGGAGTAAATCTAAGTCAAGCAAATGTTAAGAGTCAGACGAGTAATAGCTTGGAGATGGGAATACATACCCAGAATGCAGCACTCCCATTCTTCCTCAGCACCCTTGCGAGCTCAGGCCACATTTTGTTCCAATCGAACCAATGGCCTGCCTGGGCTACAACCACACAAACACCCATGAATAAACAGTATGATAGAGTTTATCCTGTCTAACACACGCACCACCAATGACTAGATCCACACTGCTATCCTCCAAGAATGGTAGACTCTCTGCGCTCGCCTGAATGTACTCATATTGACCAGTGCTCACTGGCGTCTTCTTGAGAGTATCTTGAGCAACTTCAATCATCTTAGGGCTTGGGTCGACGCCAGTGACGCGCTTGAATGGTGTGAGCTCGACTGTTGCTTGACCTGGAATGCCGAATGTCAATAGTTCAAGTCCTTCGAATTGAATACAGCTAGAACTGACCCGTCCCACAACCTAGGTCTACTGCTCTGTCCCATCTTGCACCCTTGTTGCGCTCGTGGTACCGGAATACGAAGTCAAAGAGGGACCTAGGATAGGTCGGTCTGAAAGTCGCATAGATGGCGGTGTCAAAGGAGGATTTGCCGAAAGTCGCCATCGCAGAGGCAGCGTGAGCGAGTGTCCACGTAGTTGACGATAACACTTAAGGACTACTCATGAGGACGCACGGGAATATAAATACCCATTGCCCAACGTGTCAGATGGTCTTCGATGTAGATATGGTCGTCGGTGCTATCGGAAGTACTTGTAATCCCATCCCTTAAGAGGAGACTACGGGAACCCGTCATATGCCCGGTTCCATCATGATCGGTATGTTAACTGCTTCAGTCCACTAATATATAGAACTTCTCGATACCGTTGAACCAGGTGACAAAAACGGATAGATTCAGTCTTTCAGAAGGGAGCAAAACATATTGTTACTATTACAAGTAGAGCCGGGTTGGCAGTCCCAACCACCCTGGATGCCACATTTGTCGTGACTCATTGGCTTTGTTGTCTTCTTAGTTTTCCTGCCTGCTGTCCAGGATTACTTGCGCCGACCATCGCGAGTGCTCGAGATCAGGCGAGCCAAGAGGATGACGGTAATGTCAAAGAGTGAACCTGAGTCAACGTTAATGTTAATCAACGTTGTAGTTAGTCGTGCGTGCCATGTTCGTTGAACAGCTCGTTCGAGGTGGGGTAGTAGCAGGACATCATCGTGCTTCGTCAATGATGGGCCTGTCCCGCAGAGCTTGCTTACTTGACGGGCATGTCTCGACGAGGGCTTTGTCAGCCAAGGATGACAGACGTGGTTGGTTGATGACATTAATGGTAACAGCCGCAGTTTGATGAAAAAAGCTGTGAAATGTTTGTAATTGATAATCTCACATCAGTTCTTTCGAACGCCATCGTTACTCAGTACATCGAGGATGGCCGGAAGTACTCTCTACCGGTGCACAACCTGACAAATCCATCTTGAAGGGAGAGTTGGCTATAAACACACGAGCATGGATCACCGTCTCTCCCATCAATACCAATATTCCAAGCATTTCATACCTTGTGTCTCATAGATCAACATGTCTTCGATCTCCGCACTCTTCTCTCCCATCCGCATAGGCAACATCGGCTTGCAGCACCGCGTCGTCCTCGCCCCACTCACCCGTTTACGTGCACACGCAAATCATGTCCCAAGCCCACAAGCACCAGCGTACTACTCTCAGAGAGGCTCTACCCCCGGCACTCTCCTTGTAACAGAGGCCACATTCATATCACAGAAAGCTGGTGGTTACGATAATGTCCCTGGGATATACACCGATGCCCATGTAGAGGAGTGGAAAAAGGTATGTTGTATCTTGCTTGATCATGAGATCGATGAGAGCTGACTCACATCCTCGACTGCAGGTAACAGAAGCAGTTCACGAGAAGGGCTCTTTCATTTTCCTACAACTCTGGGCGCTCGGCCGTGCGGCAGAAACAGCCGTCCTTGCCAAGAGAACAATAGCCCCTACGTCAGTGCCTCACCGATCGCTATCCCGGGAAAAACAGACGTGCCACGCGCACTCACTAGGGATGAAATAAAAGAATACGTTGCCACGTATACTACTGCCGCAAAAATGCAATTCGAGCTGGCTTCGATGGTGTTGAAATTCACGGCGCGAACGGCTATTTGATCGATCAGTTCATACAAGATGTCACCAACCAGCGTACAGATGAATATGGCGGAAGCATCGAGAATCGCGCGAAGTTTGCACTCGAAGTCACAGATGCCGTTGTGGAGGCCGTTGGTGCTGAGAAGACAGCGTTCAGAATAAGCCCGTGGGGTGTGTTCAGTGGTACGTGGATCATTAAATAGTGCCGATCTTCATTTAGCTGATTTGTGGTGCAGGTATGGGCATGGCAGATCCCAAACCTCAGTTCTCCTACTTGGTTGAGCGGCTGCGGAAACACAAACTCGCGTACATCCACGTCGTGGAGCCGATGCCTGCCGAAATCACTGCTGACAAAAACAGCGACTTCATCCGTGATATCTGGGATGGGGTTGAAGGGAGCGCATTCATCAGCACAAACGGACATACGCGGAATAGCGCAATTGAGACGGTAGACAAGAAAGGCGGGCTTGTTGGATTCGGGAGGTTGTTTATGCCAAACGTGAGCCTTTTCCCCCCGGACTTGGCAGTGACTGACGTGCCGCCTTTCCTAGCCCGATCTTCCATTCCGTCTGCTAAAGAACACCGCGCTTGAGCGGGGTGACCAGGCAACATGGTACATGGCCGGTAATCTCACACCGACAGGTTATTCAGATTGGCCCTATGCGCCAGAGAATGATCAGCAGATAAGCAGATTGTGACATGGCTTTGCAAGTGATATACCTTGGAATAGAGTAGATGTTGACCTCACACTTCTGATACCTTACTGTCTATACCTGATATCATGATCGATTAATCTTTATTTCGCTTTATTTACGGTATGGCATTATCAGTGACAGTTCGTCATGTTTTTGATCTGGTCAGACTAGATTGTGAGACTAAGTAGATATGTGAGTTAGCTCCCCTGACAGCTGTGCAATCGGAGCGATGCCACCAGAAGGCACGCTGCCCCTTCAACTGGTACAAACCTTAAGAGGACGATGCAGAACATTCAAAGGCTTATCTTACGGTCAACGCTCTGTGGGCCTGAGGAATAGTGGGTATGACAATATGGTGCATTCTTGCCGTATCAGTAATGGAGGTGTGGAAACCTCATATCCCGGGCGTCCGTGAAAACGAGGCTGGTTGACGCAGCGAAGCAGCATAAAACGCACAATATACGCACCTCTGCAGCTCAAAGAAGGATACAATCCCTCCTCGACCTCAACCAACGCTATCAACCTCCAGTAAAATGTCCAAGCTCATTCCAATCACTACACCCCTGCGAGAGCTAGAAGGCTATCAGTTGCAGCATTCCCCGATCAAAAACGAATGGTAACAGGCTCGGACGATGAGACGGTTCGGCTGTCTCACAAGATGGGTAATTGATAGCAGGCGGTGATAGAGACGGAGAGGTCATCGCCTGGCACGGAGAAACTGGGGAATCGCTCACTTATATCACCTCGCTGGATTTTTCTCCTGATGGAACAGTGCTGGTCACTGGTTCATGGGACACAACGATAAAACTGTGTGTTGTTAATAAGAATATGAGCGAGAAAGAGATTAGGCGAACGCCTTGTTGTTATTTCTCGCAATAGGAGATACAAAGGTGCGCTTTACGGTCCAGGTTTGTTGCACCATTCGCTTTCGCAACTCGATCACTTCAACACTCTGTCATCCAGTCGAGATGTTCAAAGTTCGTATGCAAGTCCGATATGGTGCTGCCACCGGTAAGAAACTGATGAACAAATGACATGTTTGGCAGTTCGAAAGCAAACTCATAGATAGGAGCGCACAATTACAACCTCGAGAAGCCATAGGACGCTGCGGACTCACCGCATAGTACGTGAGTGAGGTGGCTCTACAGAACGACTAGGCTTCTTCCTGCTCATCATCGAAAAACAACTTCTGCTGGAATTCTGTGAATGTAGTCAGAATTATGAAACGAAGATGTCAGCATGTGAAATTACCGTATTTCCTCTCCCTGAGACGCACAGGTTAGGCTAGCAACGTTATCAGGAAACTGATGACTTACTCCCTCTTCCCAGCTGATCGCAGCCTTCAATTCTGTCGACCCGGGGAGAAGAATGACTTTGATCTCCATGGCATAATACGTGGAACCTTCGATGGAGCGCTTGGGTGCGAGTTTCTCAGCAATTTTTGATGTGTCTGCGCGGACGGTGCACACCACCGAGAATGAACCTGGTTAATCCGGTAAACATCAGTGTGATTGGCAACAATGCGTGTGACTACTTCGCTCTATATCCATCCATTCCGGTGTGGGGAGGAGGCCCCTGTACGCCATGATGTCGACTTCGACTCGGTTACATACGGCTTGATTATACCGTCGGATTACGAATGTCTCACTGAACTCTTGCTGCTCAGAGACCCGTGTTCCCTGCTACGCCTGAGCAACTGACCTACCAAAGCAAGTCAAAAGAATTACCTTGGTCAGTATGGATGAAAATGCACGAGGCAGGGCAGGAATTCCCGAGGTGCTTCGGAAAACATCCTTTTGCCTGGCGCGATGCTCTATATCGAATGGGTTGAATGGAACGCTGCATTCGGTGCCGTATGTGAAACGGGACACACGGAACGATACAAGATGATCAATGAAATGTGACACAGCGCCGTCTGCAGCAGCTTTATTGCTAAGCAGCATCCGTGAGCACAGCACGAGGATTTTGTCAGTTGTTGGCGCTCACCAATGGTTGTCTGGTCGACTGAAGCTAATACCAAGCGACTGGAAGTACGCTTGCAACTTGGCGAACATCCAGTCGCTCGCAGCAAAGCCTCCAACGAAAAATACAAACTTCGTGTGACATGCCGGTCAGCGCACTTTCCGATTAAGCTCAATAATGTCAACTTACTGTGATCGGAGTGCCCGCAGCCTTTCTTTGAGTTTCGAAAGCTTCAATGATACCGCTGATGGAGGGTTCAGAGAGTTTTGCTACGTCTTGTCTTTTCAGTAGCAACACGTTAGACATAAAGGCTGCGAAAGACTACACTACAAGACTTACCCACTCAATTTAAGCTGACCGTTGCGAATATCGTGCTGAGGATCTTTGTCGCGGACGGCACCGAACTTGATGTAGGATGAGTCTTCCGGGTTGCGGAATCTAAGTTTGGTGGTGTTGTCGAAGATGTCTGTCATTTGTTGGACTACATCCGGTGTGCCGAAACGACTGCTGGATAATTTTTCTGTCAAGTCAAATCAACAAGGACGTAGCATGGCTAACACGAACATGCTGGCAAACCTTGAAGAAGACCGTGAGCACGACGAGTCACGAATACAGAACCCTGGAGTCGACCTAAGGAGTGGAGAGTAAGACATGGTTCCAACAGTCGCATGTCACTTACATTCGGCTGCAGCAATCTCTTCGATCAGCGTCGGGGATAAAGTCATCGAGTAGGCGCTAAGATCGAGTGTCCCTCCACCTGCATCGATAACGACAACACCTTGGCCCGGCGAGCTGTGATCGTCTTCGCCATCTTCAGATGCAAGCATTGGTGTCTTCGACAATGCATCTGAGGCCAGGATAGTAGCGACACAGTAATGCAAACTCGCTTCTCCTTCAGTCAGCAAATGGACACGTGCCATGCCGTCTTCTGTGTTGGGAATTAGACCGCCAAGGACGGCGGCTAGCCTGATCTGTTTCTGCTGCGGGCCCTCCCAGCCGTTTGGATGTGTAAGGACAAATTCGATACGATTTTCGAGTGACCGCCAAAGATTAGATCCACTTGGATGAGTCTCCTCGATATAGCTGCGTGCACAACAAAAGAGGTATTGCATGAAGTCGCCATAAACCTCGACGGCATTTTTACCTCGTGGAAGTGGTGGGATGTCATTGTCGGTGATATGGTTGGCGGTCAAATTTCTGGCCCGAAGGTGCAATTTCCACCTAAATGTTTATCGTGGTCAGTTAAGTAAATACAAATTCCACTATTCGCGACACAAACCATTCAAGCTTTATCCATCCTTCTTCCTCAGCCCTTTCGATAATATCCTCCTGTCATGCTTCAGCGCCGATAGCACGGACGATTCCATTTGAATCATAGTAGAGTATAGAGGGTATTTTCGAGTTCCCTCCGCTGTGCTCTTGGGCTGGATATCTAATATTCGTAATGATCGGCAATGAATCAAGTATGTTATACTCGAAAACTGACCTGGTGACAGGCTCGATCCTTGGAACTTCTCCAGGATCAAGTATACAGTAGGAAATCGCACTGTATGTAGTGCCTACGTCGAAGGCAAGGACCAGTTTGCGGACTGATCCACGATACGGCCGACGGGGAAGCATTTCTTGCGTAACTGAATGGATGTCGTACGTTGTTCACACTGTCTTATACCTTATGGTAGAGGCCGCATGGATGTTTATCCGTTCACGACTCACCTACAACGTTTAACGGATGATAATCCAATATGGGGGCAATAGGGCATACTGTTCGTGTCAGTCTTGAGGTCTGATGCGAGTGATCTGCAGAGAGTGATTGGGCTTAGCCAACTAACCCTGATACGGGAAGTTCCTGAGTGTTCTAGATAGAAAGTGCCAGACCAGGAAATGAACGGTCGATGGATGCCTCGAGGCCACCCCATAAGCCTAAACAGATAGGTGCTTCAGTGATGCACAAACTACTTGCGCTCTGCTCGGGTAAGGAATATAACGTCTTCTGTGTGGAATTCGTCGGTGCAAAATTCCACGAATTGATGGGCTTGCTGCGGTGATTGATGTCACAGAACGGTATTCGTTCCAGCTAACCTGCGCCAACAGGACTACGCTCATGTATAGGCGGAGACACGGTTAAAATGACACCAAAACCATACAAATCAAGATCTGACAAAGAACGACCATATTACAAAACCATATCAGCGGTGTGTAATACACCCAGATTGTCATGCACCATGGATAATGCCGTCTAAATTGGTGGATAACACACCGCGGCCCAGCCTGAAAGTGTAGCAACATGCCGCTGTGACTGACCACAGCATAACTAAGGGACTGATGTGAGGACAAAATGACTACCGAACACGCGGTCCGCAGTGTGATCTCTGAGGTGAATTGGAACGCTACCACAGCGTGCCTTCGACGCGCCGCCTTAATGGGCGTCATACCGGACACGATGCAGAAATGAACATGCTTCTACCACATGACATAGCCCTTCAATATGTAGTGAACGTTCGTCACCTTGCGACCAATACAACCATGAACCTGCCAACCTACGGGTTCTTACCATTTAAAGGCTTCACTGTACCCATGCCTTAGCTAGCTTCCCGTTCCTCATGTGTTGGTGGTTACGCCGATCTCGCGCGTTTTTTGTCTGGCTGAAATCTCTGCGTTTCGTCCGTAACGTTTAAACGAATGAACGTCTGCTCGAATGGAGAGAATGGAGGACAGGCGTATATCAGTGGAGATAAGCTGAGGAAACTCGAGCTGTGGCATCAAGTTTGGGCCCAAGACAAGAGCCGCCTGAAAACGGAAAATATCCGGCTTACGAACATTCTGAAAAAGCTAGCAAGGAGGCCGATGAAATTCAGGTTAGGCTACTAGGAGCAAAGCGAGAAAGAAAAGGACCAACAAGAACGCTCCAAACTTCAAGAAGCGCATCAAAAGCTGCAGCAAGATCTCAGCTCACACCAGCAGCAGCTACTGATGCGAGAGACCGAAAAGCACCTGGGTGGCACCACCCATATCTGCATCTTCCTGCCTGCTATCCATGAACGAGGATGTCCGTTGCGCCAACTATTGCGAGTGCTCGAGATCACTATAGTCAAGGCGAGCTAAGAGGGGGGTAGTGTCAAAGAATGAACCTGAGTTGATGTTAACGTTAATGAACGTTGTAGTAAGTCGTGCATGCCATGTTCGTCGAACAGCTCGTTCGAGGTGGGAATAATGGTAACAACAGAGTAGCAGCCTAGCAGGACATCATCCGATGATGCCCTGCTACTCTATTGTGTGACCTGTCGTCAATGATGCCCGCGATGATGTCCTACTAAAATTGAGCTTGCTTACTAGTTCGACGTTCGATTCGGATGGGCATTTGAGATCCTGCTTTGCATGTCTCGGCCAGGACTTTGTCAGCCAGTTCATTCATTAACGTTATTAACTCGGAGGATGACAGACGATGACATTATGTAATGGCAGCCGCAGTGTCGCACAGCTGTGAAATGTTTGTAATCGATGACAGCTTATCAGTTCTTTCGAACGCCATCGTTGCTCAGAATCAGTCATGAATTCTCGGTGCACCGAGGTTTTTCTCGATGGCTGGAAGTACTCTCTACTTGATCACAAATCCATCTTCTATTGAGCGAAGGAAAGGTTGGCTATAAAATACACGAGCATGGATCACCGTCTCTCCAATATTCCAAGCATTTCATACCTAGTGTCTCCTAGTTTGCAATAGATCACGATGTCTTCTTCGATATCTGCACTCTTCTCTCCCATCCGTATAGGCAACATCGGCTTGCAGCACCGCGTCGTCCTTGCCCCACTCACCCGCGTACGTGCACACGCAAATCATGTCCCAGGCCCACAAGCGCCAGCGTACTACTCTCAGAGAGGCTCTACCCCCGGCACTCTTCTTGTCACAGAGGCCACATTCATATCTCAGAAGGCCGGTGGTTACAATAATGTGCCTGGGATATACACCGATGCTCATGTGGAGGAGTGGAAAAAGGTGTGTTGTGTGTCGCTCAATGATGAGATCGATGAGAGCTGACTGACGCCCCGGACTACAGGTAACAAAAGCAGTTCACGAGAAGGGCTCTTTCATTTTCCTACAACTCTGGGCACTCGGGCGTACGGCAGAAACACCCGTCCTTGCCAAGGAGAACAATAGCCCGTACGTCAGTGCTTCAGCCATCGCTATCCCGGGAAAAACGGACGTGCCACGCGCACTCACCACGGATGAAATCAAGGAGTACGTTGCCACGTATGCCGCTGCCGCAAAAAATGCAATTCGAGCTGGCTTCGATGGCGTTGAAATTCACGGAGCGAACAGCTATTTGATCGATCAATTCATACAAGATGTCACCAACCAGCGTACAGATGAATACGGTGGAAGCATCGAGAATCGGGCAAGGTTTGCACTCGAAGTCACAGATGCCGTTGTGAAGGCCGTTGGTGCTGAGAGGACGGCGTTCCGAATAAGCCCGTGGGGCAGAGTCAATGGTACGTGGATCGTTCAGTAGTGCCGACCTTTATTTAGCTGATTTGTGGTGCAGGTATGGGCATGGCAGATCCCAAACATCAGTTCTCCTACTTGGTTGAGCAGCTGCGCAAACACAAACTCGCATACCTCCACGTCGTGGAGCCGATGCCTGCCGAAATCACTGCTGACAAAAACAGCGATTTCATCCGTGATATCTGGGGTGGGGTTGAAGGTAGCGCGTTCATCAGCACAAACGGACATACGCGGAATAGCGCGATTGAGACGGTAGACAGGAAAGGTGGCCTTATTGGATTCGGGAGGTTGTTTATGCCAAACGTGAGTGTCTACGCCCACCCCCCGCCCCAGACTTGGCAATGACTGACGTGGGCTCGTTTCCTAGCCCGATCTTCCATTCCGTCTGCTGAAGAATATCGCGCTTGAGCGGGGTGACCAAGCAACGTGGTACGTGCCCGGTAATCTTACACCGACAGGTTATTCCGATTGGCCCTTTGCGCCGGAGAATGACCAGCAGATAAGCAGATTGTGAGACGGGCTTTGCAAGTAATATACCTTGGAATCGAATAGATGTCGATTTCACAGTTCTGATACCTTACTGTATACACCTGATATCATGATCATAATTAATGTTTATTTCAGTTTATCTTACGGTATGACATTATCAGTGACAGTTCGTCGTATTTTTGATTTAGTCCACCATCAAGAGGCGCGAAGGGGAAGCACGTCAGGTATCAGATTGTCAGACTAGATTTTGAGACCAAGTAGATATGTGAGTTATCTCCCCTGACAATTGTGCAATCTGAGCGATGCTACCAGAAGGCACCGTGCCCCTTCAACTGGTACAAAATTTAGAGGACGATATAGAATATTCAAAAGGCTTATCTTAGGGTCCGCGTTATGTGGGCCTAACCATCAAGGAAGCCTAATTAAGGGGATTGCCGCCCATGTTGGCAAGATGCTTTCCAACTGCGGTACTGGAGCGACTGGACCGTGGATATATGAATGCATTCAGGAATGCCCGCCATCCAATGTAATGAATAATATTACATAATCAATAATCAATCTCAGTATGGGTCGTGGGAGTCCTTGGATACATCCTGAACGTACCATCATGATGACGCCTTCAGGCATTGATGTGCCAACACCACACACCGGACCAGAATCTCGTCCGTTGGAGAACCGTGGTTACCGGCTGCACCCTTGGTATAAACCAGATTGGATTCTGTCCTGGCAGGGGACTTCCCAAAACGTGATACATCAAATGCATGCATGTGAAGACTGGATCAAACCTCGGGTATGTGTCTGTGCACTAGGTTACACAAGTTTGATTGACTCTCATACCATACCGCTTAGTACACTTGTGTATTAGATCCTACTCGAATTCCAGATGGTGAATTTATTATACTCAAATCCGTCCTTCGATGTGACCACCCTTTCGAGGTTGATATCGCTTATTACCTCACATCGGAGCCTCTTCGATTGGATTATATGAACCATTGCATTCCCGTCCTGGATGTCCTCCATATACCAGGTGAAGAATGTGACATTATGGTCATGCCTCTCCTACGGCACTACTCTGACCCTTGGTTTAAAACTTTCGGGGAAGCCGTTGAGTGTTTTCGCCAGCTCTTCAAAGTACTTTGAAACACTTGGCAACTGGCCTCTCCGTTCAGGGCCTCTATTTCATGCACAAGAACTGTGTAGCTCATCGATATGTCTGCCTGTCTCTCCTGGTGTTCAGCGCTCAACTTGCGCGTAGCGACTGCATGAACTTGAACATCATGATGCATACAAGGCTTCTTTTTATTGACTTATTCCATCCCTTTCGTCCGCAAGAACTCGTGATTTGAAATGTACTCCAAGGCACTATAGTCGTTACAGCGTCCTACGAGGTACTTTCTGATCGATTTTGGATTATCTCGTTGATATGACCCGTTTGTAACAAACCCTGTTGAACCGGTCATCCTCGGAGGCTATAAGACAGTACCAGAATTCAAATCCTTCAAAATTCAAACCGCGAAATCCATTTCCTACTGATGTTTATTACATTGGTCACGCTATTCAGGAAACTTTTTTGGATGTGTGATATTTAAATTCTGCTTGATTTCCAGATACCGCTCTGATACTGGCTGGACAGGGATATAACGGCTTTGACTTCGTAGAACCATTGATACGGGAAATGGTTCAGAAGAACCCGTCCCTGAGACCGACGATGGAGCAATCAAGGTCTTAGCTCCGATCCCGATTGACCGAGAGCGAGAAGGTCGCTTTGAAAGTATCTTCAAAGATATTACTCATTTGTCGTGTCATTGTATATTCTTCAAGGCCATCCCGCAATTCCCCATTATTGATAATGAATCACGCCCTGACCTACATGTAGTTCCAGTTACCCATTCTTTGTTTACAAGATTAGATATATCCCTTTTCTGGGATCTGCCAGAATCGCTTGAAGTACATGGGCGTATAATCATTTCGTAAATATCAATCATATCTAGGATCTGTCACAGTTTCAATGTAGACGTTGAAACCAAGATCTTTCAAGCGTAACCAAACGACTCGATGTGTAGTGTCACACTCGGCCCACCGTTAGCCACACTGAGAGGGCTAGACACTGGGAACCGAAGAGCACCACGAACAGATCGAACTATGCTCTGTGAGCCGCACACTAAAAATAAAGTAAGCGTCACCATCATCTGCAGTGTATGGAGGCGAAAACTGACCACCAACGGACATCCTGCCCGTCGTCGCTGTCACTTCATCTCTGAGGATAGCTGGGAGGTCGGGCCTTCCACGTGCAAGCTTGACTGACTCTATGGCGAAAAGGGAGTTATTGCTTATTTCCGTATCTTTTCCATCTTGCGACTCTACCACCTCGGAGCGGGAATCGTCGCGCGCAGGTTTGGCGTCATCATTTAAACCATGCGATTGTGGTAAAGTCTCAATAGGTGTTGCTACACCGGTAACGTGAATGTGGATTGAGATGGACAAAGAAGGAGGTGCAAGCCGGAGTGCTCGGATAAGAACATCATTGATCCAGCGAATATGATCTGGGGAGAATAGATGAATCAACCTTGCCACAAACTTCGAATTGACGATTCTTACCGACACTCCGAATTGACCAGATGAAAACAACACGACGGCACCTGCTTTCACCGTTGCGGACACGCCTGAAAAAAAATACAGGTTAAATGTACAGAACCGGCAATCCAGTCGACATACTCTATTATATCCAATAATACCGGTAGCGCATACGAGACTCCGGATCCACCTGAAAGTGGGACATATATGAGCAATGTTAAGATGTACAAAATTCGACCACTAACCAGCAACGAGCACGGATGTGTCATATGAACCCAGGTTAGGAGATGGCCCGTATGGTCCATCGACAAAGACTTTGACTTTATCACCTTTTAAGGCAGCTTCTTTCAAGCGCGCAGTGAATCCCTCCCTCACGTTTATGAAAAATACGAGTTCTTTCCAGAATGGGGCACTAGAACCAAGATTCCCTTCTGTGAGGTTATTCTCAGCATGTTTTTCGCTTGTTGGTTTCTGTTCCTCGGGCACATCAAAAAGGGTAGAATTAAAGCTCGCAATGGTGAAAGGATGGGCCTCGAATGGCAAGCGTGAGACGGACGGCATGATAAGATAGGCAGTTTGCCCAGGCGTCCAGTGGAAATGAGAGGGGCGGTGGAAACGTAACCGAACAAAATCATCTGATAGGACTTCAGCGGTTGCATCCATCGTAGATCCTGACTTGAATCCAAAGTATGAGTGGTTAAACACCACTAGACGAAGGAAGCGAATGAGGCGGTCCAATCCCCAGATTACAAAACAGGGGTAGATCCAGAAGGCGAATCTGGTGATCATCAGTATGGAACATTTGGGTTGTGTATTTGATGAAACTCACGCGAAATTTTGTGTGTGGACGTAAGCACCGATGAGGAAAATCCTAAAAGAACTTCGTGAGTGCCGCAGAAGCAATAGAACTGGAATGGGCTCACAACACCATGGCGAAATGAACGTAGAAGAAAAGTTCATATGCTTGTGCTCGGATGGGGCGCAAGGAGACAATACATAGAATGGTAAATGCGATCATGGCAATCAAGCCACATATGAGCCACTGCTGCGCGAAGTACGGTTGGAATCTGTATCGTGTGAGTGCGTTGCATCCTTTATGCGTGCTGCACGTACGGTGCATTTCGGACAACCTCACAGCCTCCATGAGCCCAGAGCAAGATAAAAACGACTCTAGACATCATGCGATGGACGTAGTTGAGCTTGGAGAAAAATCATGTTACAACAAAGCAACGACGAAAATCATGAATAGACTTGCCTTGTCATAGCTGATACCGGTGATTACTGCAAGCAGTCAGCAAAGCAGGTTAAGAAGCGAGTACATAAGCCGTACAGGATACTATGTTATTTTTAGTTCCAAGTGCAGTGATCAGTGGGAACTGGCTCGCCGCCAGCATGCCCGAGCGGTTGCACCAGTATGTAATGTCCAATGTGCGGCCCTCAAGGTCAGTTGCTAGAAGCTTTCTCAGAATATACCAGTAACATTACCAAGGAACTCACTGTTGATAAATGCCCATACAAAGAGAAAAATGATGTATGCCATGGTCACAAAAACCTCAGCCATATTGAGGGCGTATGACTTGCCAAATTCGAGTGTCCAGCGGAAAGAAATGACACGGTATGCATTGACAAGTCCTAATGGAATGCGACGCCAAGAAAAAGCGCGGCGACGGTGTACAGAAGCATGTTCTGGGTCGGAGACGTTGGTTATTTGACGCCTCCCAGCGAACTTGGAGTGAAAGAAGGAAATCCACTGGAAGATGGCAATGATGAAAATGAAAAGCCCAATGCAATACCACGCCTGAATCGGGTACAGATGGTTTCGGGCGCCTCGCAGAGATTTGTCGGTGGCAGCCATGAATGAAGAAGAGAGCCCGAGTAAACTCACACCGAGGGGTTGCTAGACCGCCCTCGAAGCATGGCTCCCTTTATAGCCGACCTCCACATGAAATGAATCAGCAGTATGTATACAGAAGTGCCTGGGAAAAAATAAGTATTTCAAACATTAGATAGAGACTGTCAGGCCATCTGACGAAAGAAATATACGTTATCATGCGCACTTGGGAGGTTGGAATTTGGAAACCGAAATATTCGAGTTGCCGCGTTTGGAAAATTAACTTTACACCATAATTGGTACTCCGCGAAACCTTCGAATTGCACACACGATTAGACGCCACCTCGACGGCCACCTGCCTAATAAAGTACTAGCCGTATTGAAACATCCATTGGCGCTCAGTACTCAGTGCTCATCGACGACGATCTGCGCGTAGTTACCAAGCCACTTACCCTCATAATGCATCCTGTGGTAACTAGCGGTCCGAAGCTGCGAGGGCGGCTCAGATCGGTTCTCATCGGCTCTCATCGGGCGGCATTGAAATTTGGATTAGGTATATTCGGAGTTCTACTTCAATGTACGTCCCCTCAATCTCCCCTGTGCCAGATCTCTGGGCGGTCTACACACATGGCATGCCAGCGCCTCACCGGGGTTAACTCGTGAGTCAATTGTAACCTTTTCCGACTCGTACCTGCTCCGTCGTCGCCTCAATAATGGGTAACTATTTTTTCACGACAGAATTCGACAGATGTTGAAACTTAAAATCATACAAAACAGTCACCCCTGTCCGTGTGATCTGATCACACTAATCTGATAACGGTTATCTGATAAAGTACACTTATGACAGCCGGCCATGACAAGAAGTTCCGGCCCAGAGCGTTGTAACCAACGGACATTTCGCCTGCATAATATTATAAGGTTAACACTCTCGGTACTGGCGCTTGCCTTGTCACATTGCAAATAGTAGTTCTTGTGATTGTTTCTCCGAATGGGCGAGATTTGGCATCTGTAGGTCAATGTGTTTTAAATATCCCACAGTGGTATGTAAAAACTCCATAATAACAACAGATGTTCAACATTTTCCAGGCAGGGAATATATCTTGTCTTACGCGCTGGACACAACAGACGTCTTCGTCTTCAAGCATCTGATGGAAAGGTGTGCTGTGCAGGTAACCAGCGATGACGGCACGACAGTCGTGGTGCAGTCCGATCCGAAGAGCAGGGAAAATGGGTATCTTGATGAACAATGTGCTAATTATTGCCATTGGTCTATCAAAGCCAAGTCGAGAATTTCCCCGTAACCCGGACCATGGCGCGATTGACATGTTTTTTTCTCTGTGTCATTGCTTGATGTGTCATTTCATCACATTCTCAGGTTCGAGGGTCAACATACCTTCTATGGCAGAACGAAAACAAGGGCTTATCATCAATACTGATCTATCAACAATGCAGGGAATATGTGAGCACACCGGAATGATGCGACACTTCAGCTGACCCCTTAATGCACAGAACGGTTTATACAGCGCAGATGTGTGGCGGGTCATGATCCGTGCACTAAGCAGCGCTTTCGTCATTTAATGCAAAACGGCCTTTGGTGTTAAAGAAATGTTGATAGTACCGGGCGCTGTCAAGTTGACATCTTATCAGTCAGCCTTGATTTATCCCTGGGCCTCGTTCATCTACAAGGCTTACAGAAACCTAAGGTGGTCCCCAAGTGGTCCCGGAACTTCGAGACTTGTAGGAGTCCTGCATTTTTACCGACATGTCCGTCCGTCATAGAATCGCATTCGCCGCGAGCCCGCTTCTGCTGCCTTGAGGAGAGGGCAAGATTGTCTGATTGATTGTGAAGAGACGTCAAGTTTTGGATCGGGTATGTGACATGCATACTATACACATTTGACTAACTTCGGTTTGTTGGTGGGAGGTGCTACCTGAGGCACGCCGTCAATTGTCCGAACCGCAAACATGGGTTCTGACACGACAGTCCGATAGTTCCTGCGTGTCTTTGTCAGCTTTCAAGAGTACGATGACACGGAGTCTTAGAGCTTCTGATGGAAATGTTTCGTTGTAGCAGACACGACAGTCAATGCATCAGGTGCCAAATTCTGTGTCACGTCCAGCAACGGGATCCTGGAAGGAAGATGTCGGTAAGAGGGATAAAAACACGGGAGGAAAGGACTAATCACAAATTGAAGTAACAGGAAAGACATACAGATTTGCAATATCTTGGTCGTCTCATTCTACCTGAGAGACAATACTCCGAATTATGACGATGCCTCTGTCACAATTACCCGCATAATTTTTCGTGCAGCAGCTCGCCGAGGATGTCGACACGTATCTTTGAGTCAGATGTCTCGAGTTCGTTCGAACGCAATCACGGTATATCCTGCCGCTATGCGAACCTCTAACTTTTGTTGCAGGAACTTCGGTTTTCACGCTTGTCCTTGCCAGATGCATCCCAGTCCTATACCATATGAGCAGCACTCGATCTATGTATCATAATAATGATGTTACTGTCCACAGTCGCATGTGTCTGATATCTTGATTAGATGGTCATAACTGGAGCAGGGGAGGTTGGAGCACATCGGCCCGGCCTCGCTTTTCGGCCAGCCGACATGCTCCCCGGGCCGTGCACTCATTTGCACAGCCCCTGTTAAGATAATTGATCCACAGTGCGAGACACATCATTCACCAGGATGCGAATGATCGACGGATGACGGAAAGTCCGACACCAGAAGATGAGAGGGCAGGGGATCAAGCGATACGCTAACAGGAAGGAGCCCAATGAAGGCTGACATGAATGACACAGCGATGCGAGAGTAGGCGATTCCCGGAATTCTGGGACGAGGGACAAAGCTCAAACGCAAAGGGAGTACAAAAGTATTTGCGAAGACAGCCAAACAGATGTATTTTGAGATCGACAACCAAGAACGATCTACGTAGTAGTTGCCTGTTTGTGTAAGCACAGCTCGACCCAAAACAAGTAATTGCACATGTTTGGCAGGATCTCGCAATCCACCACGACGATCACGAATTATCATGAGATCCAGTCCCTTACGGTAGCGGGAATTATATGAAGAAAAACTAGCTATAGAGCCAGGTACGAAATACAGCGGCTCCTTAAAGATAGCATCACATCCTGGTGCTCATCGGAAATATATATATAATAATCACGAATACCGAACAGAATCACTAAGTGACTGAGTGAGCGCATCGACCTTTCTTCAGCTTTCAGCCGATCGAATATGGCTGTAACTCTAAGATAGGCGGGCCATTGGCCAGAATAATTCACGCTGCGAATTAATCTAGACGCCCCCGAGGAACCAAGAAGATGAAATAGAACAAATAACACAACCCTGAAATATAAAGTTCGAGTAGATACACTATCTTACTAGTAAGCCTTCAATTGAAAAGATAGCCAGGTCTGACGGGTCACAGATTCCCCTGGAACACCACAGGCACCGTAAAAGCATCTTCTTCGGATAGGTGCCTCAGAGGCACTGACTTGCTATCTAGGATTTTATGTACATCATAGCGCCGCTGATGCGCCAGTCCCCGACTCCGCCAGGCCTATTCCACTTTCCATTTTCCTGTCAATTTTTCACTCATCTCCGTCGCTATCTTTCCCACTCCTGTGTTGTGTCCCCGTCAATATCTTCAATGTTGTTTCTCTCAATTTCCAATATGTCAACACCACGAAAATTTTATCCCCTAACCCATGTCCTGCTCAGTAGAAACCTCCCGTTCGTCCACTTGTTTTCTCTCACTGTGACGCCAATTCTTCCTAAATATATATGGTCTCCATCGCGCCTTAGCAAAGGGATAAACAGTTAAGAGTGGTAAGAACACACGACTGCACATCAGCAGAACGGCCAGAAGCCAGTCGGCACAATAGCACAATGAGTGTAAGTGGAAGCTTCAAATGCGTTAAGAGAGACACACGCGAAACGTGCTGGTCAGTCACTACAACTGGGTCACTGTCAAAGGCGACACAACCTGCAAATCACGTATTGCATGAATAGTGACTGACCTTGGATAAGCGAAGCTCCTTAGCGACCACTGCGGTCACCCGTCTCCTAGGATAAGGGCCTGTTAGCTAGGGCAAGAGGGACGCTAGGTGGCGGGGGATGGCAGCGGTTTCGAACCTGCGAAAGTTCTCATCAGGGGGCTACCGCTACCCTGACTGCGCCTTCTATTTAGGAAGGATACTACTGAGCCTATGTGCCTAGTGGGAGTACAGGACCTGTCGCACGACTGTGTCCAATGACCATGGCCCACCGGCAGGGTAGTTTACGGTTGGGCGAGGGCTAGTGGAAGGGTAGGAAGCTTCAGACCTGGAGTCTCGTGGCCTTTAGCACGTCCTAAAACCCACTCACTGAGGACCCTGTTGCGGTCGTTTCCGAGCCGAAAAAGGGATTTGGGCGTCTCCGTGCAGAGATGTGTGGCAAATGTTCAATAAGAGCTCTTGACAGCCAAGTTCGGGCACAACAGATGGTATTTGGGGTAATAAACAGCATCACAGTATATGGGGTAGTCTGAGAGCACATGCGCAACTGAATGTAGACAATAACATTCACCAAGGGTGCGTGCAACATGGCACAGTACCTTCGAAACGAACACCATACACTGTTGGACGGTGAGGGAACGGGAACATAAATATAGGACACATGACTTACGATGAAGCAGGAGAAAAGACAATAAGGAGAAAATAAAAGACCACTGCCAACTGGTAAAAGAGCGCGTACTCAAACTCATGACAGACACTGTACAATGAATTCAAACAGATCCCTCCCTCCTTACCGTGGGAGTTTCCTACAGGTCCAACGTGCACGTTTTCTGCAGTCCCCGTGGGAGTCGGTGCTCAAAACAAGCGCCAAAAATGACCACCGCAGGGGTCGAACCTGCAATCTCCTGATCGCCATACTATCGTAGTCAGACGCGATGCCATTTCGCCAGGCGGCCATACCACAACGGTGACTTACAAATGTTTTCAGAAGACGTCCCATCGAATACATAAGGCAGAAATCTACAGGCGTCTACAGCATAAACATAATGGTAAAAGGCATAGAGGTCGTAAAGCTCGTTAGTGTCCTGATACACTATTATTACAGGGGTATGGGTATAGAGTTGCATAATATAAAGTTATCCCGCATAAACCATCGAGGTATAAAGGACGAATAGACACCACACCTTGTAAATTGTCTTTATATCACAAAGAGGATTCAGTCTTCACAACACCAGTCCGTTGTGGCTCTCCACTCGGGGGCCACTCTAATCCAACATAAGCATACACACGTTCGCGCGCCGCAGGTAATGAAGCCCTTAGACGGCGCTGCACATCCCCGAAACGTCCGGCTGCCTTTCTGAGCTCAAGCCTGTCCCAAGCGCGAACAGCCTGCCTAAGCGAGCCACGGCGGCGTGGCAGTGTCCAAGACCTTGCACGTAAGGAAGTAAACCCTAAATAAGCGCAGCCCTGGGGCTCAGTGACAGGATGTGAAGTACAAGCAGGGCGACTGACCTGACGGACTTGGAGATGCCGTAACAATGCTTTGCTTGACGGGCTGAGGCTTTACAGATTTGGCGTGCTTGACGAACCCCTTCAGGCACCCGTAAAACCAGAATGCGTGAAGAGGGAAGATGCCAGCCATGATGATACTTGGGCCAAACGAATCATTCGTGACATTGTGCCGGCTGGCGACCATCGATGCGCATAGAAATATATGAAGAACGATACGAGTCGCAAAAAACGACAATGCGAAAATTACATCCGAGCGGAAGCGAGAGTTGAGACTCGCAATAGCCATAATGAAGGTAGGTACCTGTATCAAGTTAGCGCTCTCAATGTGTGCAGACGCGAGCCATGAGAATTGGAGTTTCACCTCCATCACCGCACACAGTGCAAACAGATGACTCCAGCCCATATGACAGGAATACCCGACAATGAAAATGTATGTCGTGTGATGAATCCAGCCTGTTAACAAGTTAACCTTGCTACGGTAGTAAATCACGCCCATCAATAGGTCTCTAATCCATCATATCAGCACACGTTTCAGGAGCGGCAAACTTGGACCCACGCGACAAGATATGCTTGAAAGAATCGACCTGTATTCTCCGTCCAAAGTGTTGACTTTATCTCTCTTAAATCTCCACGAGAACTGGCATAGCGAAAGAAAAGAGGTAAACTTGACAGAGACATCGCAGCGCTACTGATTGTGGTCAATATCCATGATCGTTGTTTCACGGTGGAACACAGAGGCGCAAAGATATGATAAGCCACTATCAGCGCTAGAAATGAGTATAGGAATGCAGGGGGTATCGCATCCTCGATGGACACGTCGAACATGGCACGGACGTGAAGGGGCGAGGAAGGAGCCAACTTATCTCCCGCTCATCGAGTTGTAATTTTAAGGAGCCAATGACAGTTTATGGCACGTTTACCCATGTGCCAAGCATCGAATTTTCGAACTTCGCGACCTGAAAAACCCATTTTGGTCAATATAAGGACATGGAGGACTGACTCGGGTCATCACCCCAGAGTCGCCCACACGAACGTGAATGAACCCGCAGTGCCGTGAACAGCTTTCTGACGGCGACAGTACTGGATAACTTAAGAGGCCTACTAGGACTGACTTTGGCTGCACGTTGTTCGTGTCAAACGAACGTGCACGATAGTCCTGTGAAAATTTGGTCATGTACAAAAAGAAGCGATTCACCAGCAAATATTGCGGCCTTATTGGCGGAATGATATATCTGTCCGAGTCTCGAGAGGTCTTGACCAACTTGACTGTCCTGTCCGTGTTCAGTGACTTTGGAACATTTGACATGCCCGCCTGGCACATACCGCTGTCTAGGAGGGCCTCAATCCATCTTCCAGACATATTATACCGTATCATCTACATTATTCCCAGGAATATTTACATAACATTTTTGTAATGAAATCTGCTGTAATACTATTTACTAAACCAAGGTACGCGCAAAACACCACGTATCAGATCCCTATACCGGCGCGATAAGAAGATGGCCAAGAAATGGGAATTCTCAAATTAGTCCAGCGGTCCGACGTCCGTCCTAGCACAACCAAGGTTTCTTACCCCCCAACACCTTTTGCAGACCCATACTATTTACGAGCCACCATTTGTTTCTTTAACGGTAACCTGAGGTATGAAATTTTCGAAATGTGTAGGGACCACTGCGATGCCTGGCGGCGGACACCCTCTTGTTTGGTTCGAGTCGTTCGCCTCGAGTTCTCAAATACTCTGTTACCACCAGCACTGACACGCGCTGCAAGACGACCTACCGTCAATACAACAGCACATCGCGCAGGAGCACTAAACGTTCAATAGGACAATCAAAATGATTCCATTTCATGCATCATACTCACCTATGGTGATGTATCGGCAGCCTGGACTGCTGGACCTATAGGCTATGCCAGGCTGATCACGGATGCCCGTAGTCTCTCGTCGTCAGATCTTCAGACCTCGATAGCCGTTCCTTCGAAGTTCTATACCAAGGGGTGCCCAATATGTAAGTACTTCCGATAGCACCGACGACAATATTTGCATTGGCCGTCATCGATTTCAAGACCATCGACCTCGCTCTTTGGGTATTTATACTACTTGTGCGTCCTCATGAATAGACCTTAAGTGACATCGTCGACTACGTGGACACTCGCTGCCTCTGCAATGGCGACTTTCAGCGAATCCTCCTTTGACAGCACCATCTATGCGACTTTCAGACCGACCTACCCTAGGTCCCTGTTTGACTTCATATTCCGGTACCACGAGCGCAATAAGGGTGCAAGATGGGATAGAGCAGTAGACGTTGGTTGTGGGACAGGTTAGTTCTGGCTGTACTCAATTTGAAGGACTTGAACTTTGACATATTGTTGATGATTCGGGATTCTAGGTCAAGCAACAGTCGAGCTCACACCCTTCAAGTGCGTCACTGGCGTCGACCCAAGCTCTAAGATGATTGAAGTTGCTCAAGGTACCCTTGAGGAAAAGTCATCGAGCACTGGTCAATTGAAGTACGTACACGGGAGTGCAGAGAATCTGTCATTCTTGGAGGATAGCAGTGTGGATCTAATCATTTCCGGTGTGTGTGTTAGACAGGAGAAACTCGATGGTACTGTTTGTTCATGATGTCTGCGTGCTTGTAGCCCAGGCAAGCCATTGGTTCAATTGGAACAAAATATGGCCCGAGGTCGCAAGGGTGCTGAGGAAGAATGGGAGTGCTGCATTCTGGGTATGTATTCCCATCTCCGAGCCATTACTTGTCCAGTCACTCCTAACATGTTGCTTAACTTAGGGTTACTCCAAGCTCCGCTTCACTCGCTATCCGTCACTCACACAGCAAGTCGACGCTTATGTCGAAGGTATTGACCCGCTGAACAGCCTTGGCCCATATTGGGAACAACCCGGTCGTTCGATTCTGGATAATCACTTGCTTGACGTATCAGAAGGCAATGAAGTTGTGCCCGGCGCGTTCAGTGATTTCGAGAGAGTCTTCTTCACAGGTTTGTCTTGGACCTATCGTCATGCGACACCGTATTAACACATCGCAGGCGACCACTACCCATCTCTCCCTTCCCCACACTCTGTGATCATGCACAAGAAAATGACGTGGGATGACCTGCTATCTTATCTTAATACGTGGAGCGCGTTGCACACGTTCCGTCAGCACAACCCCACGGATGCGGAAAACCCACGTGGAAATGTTGCAGTGCGGCTCTGGAAGGATCTTATGGAGGGTGCCGAGCGGGAGGATGGGAGAGCCGTCGGAGGACAAGATGAAGTAGACATTGAATGGCCATTGGCGATGATAATGGTTAAGAGAGCGTAAGATGATGCTTAGTGCTATTGAGGGCGGGTTTCCCTTTGTTGGCGGCTTGCAAATCATCTGACTAGAGACTATCTAGGCAATTGGAAATACCGTGATTCAGAAGACTAGCGAGACTGTTATATCTCCAAAATCTTATTGGATGCAGTACTAAACCTACGTCACACTGCCTTGAACGTTAGTGGATCACTAGGCTATTACTGGTGAGTCTTGTCGGATTAGTTCGCCTGGCCGTAATGAGGCCCTCGTTTGAATTTGGCGACGAACTAGCTGACAATCAACATGTCCATATCAGTGTTATCGTGGCCCCCGGTTGGCAGTGTTTTCCGGGTTACTGAACTTCTTTATTCAAGCCGTAGGATTCAGCTAGACAAGCTTCACGTTACAACTTTGTTTAGCCTCCAGAGCACGCGAACTGCCAGCAGGTATGTTGTCGAAGTTCTAAACGAGACAATGAACACCTCCAACCGTTGCGCCGGTCAACGTAGGCAACTCTATTTCACGTGGACTGATTATAGCAGACCTTGGGGGTACACTTCTGTTACTCTCGTTAAGTCCGTAAAAGCCTACTAGTGCTGTACTACGGGCCTATTCGGAGGCGATACTATCTTTGGCCCAGAGTTGCAAATCACAACATAGCATGCTCATCTTCCACTCATTTCCTTTGCACAATGATTCTAGAGGATGATTAGTATATAGCTTGCTGTATTTATTTTTTATTTCATGAAAAATGAACTGGAAGTGCTTGTGGCAGTGAAATACAGTGTGGAACATGCACTTTCTGCACCAATCTGTCAGAGGAGAGCCATTACATGTGCCAAAAAATTCAGAAATTTTACTAGTGATTCTACATTGCCTTCTAGCACTGCTCTAATTTTTTCTGACATGAAAACTGTGTTATGTTGAGAGCCATAAATGTTGTACTATCAAGATGCAAAACGTGACAGGAGGGGTGAGCTTGTGTTCGGAGTTGTAAAGCACCACTCAGGAACTCGGCTAACACATGTGCGCGCACTTACTCATATCTGTGAACAGTCTTGCAGTGCTGGTCACATGCCAAAGAGAAACCGACCCTCCAAGTTTTCTCAAGAGCTTGAAGATAAGATTCAACATGCCTGCACTATTCTACATGCTTCTCCTTCTCCTAACGTTCGCACTGTTGCAACAGAGCACAAAGTCCCATACAACACCCTTCAGCGGCGGTATCTTGGCAAGAGTCAGTCATACCACAAGGCTCATATTGAGCAACAGCTCCTATCACTGGAATTGGAAAATGTGCTTGTTGACTGGATCAAATTACTCAGCTCCATGGGGCATCCACTCAGCAAGCACACAATTCAAAGCAAGGCAGCTGTATTGTGTCATGGCAAAACTAAGCCTCGCGAGAAGTGGGTCAGAGGCTTTCTCGAACATCACCCATAATATATTATACCTATCTAGTTAATACCTTACAGTACAAAAGCATACTTTTATGTTAGAAATACAAGTTTCAATGCTGAACGAAAGCCTTCGGAATCCTTGTCAAATGCGCCGGTTTCGTTCATTGGAGAATTAAAACTGCAGCATGACATAGTGTGACACAATGACTTCTATGCAGGTGGGAAATTTTGCAACTCTGTGCTCAAACGCTGTTTTGCACTGGCTTCTCTCTGGCAACGTAGCCTTGACAAATTTCTTGATTTTTTTTTACATAGCCTTAAAGGGTGACTATCCGTAGGCTGAAATATTGCGGAATAAAATAAGATAGAATAAAAAAGACCATTTAAGGAAATTGTGCCACGATGCCGCTGTCCATTTGCGTCGAATTTGCAAAACATTATTTTCTGACCCCCTTACAGATTATTCCGGATTATAAACGACGGATTAAAACCATTTTGGGCCACTACGCCCAAGCTATCCGCTGACTAATCATACTTGAAGGTCCCCGCCTGACACATGTTCAGCATGGCGATAGTTGCTACCTGGTCCAAACATTTTCCAATATACACAGTCCAATCCCTGAGCTCCCTGGTGAAGTTTTCAGCTGAAGTTTTAAGATTACTATCAGCAGATGACGCCAACACGTACCACTGTGACTGGCCAGGGTACGAGGTGAGCAGTGCTGACACCATTCTCTCCCTATAAGTCTAGAGTCGCAAAAACCATTCGTTCCCCAAGTTACTGCGACTGTTTTTTTGTCATTAAATACTTTATTCCATGTGTGTACTAACGTATTCGTGCAACCACCACAGGGCCGTTCTACTAACTACAAACATCTAGAATCATTTATGCATCTGACAGTTCAGGTTTTTGAGACGTATAAAAGCACGCATTGGAGGACAACAAGGTAAGCATTATTTTCATTAAAACTACAGCGTGCAATGTCTGACATTCCCCCTCCACAATCCATGATGATACCTCCTGGTAGTACCCCATCTTACCCCGAATTACGCTATGACCACGCTGGAAATGCATTTGCCCGTGATAATTTTGGTGCTTGGGTGTCTCATCCAGGCATCTGCAAAGTAAGTCTTATCAAACAATTGTTTACTGGTGGCTGATACTCGACTTACTATAGACTCTTACAACTGATCGGTCCTTTCGGTTCAAACATGGCAACGGTCCAGGTTATCAGGTACGTCGAGTATCATATGATGTTTTTGACTCAACTAACTATACAGTGGCTCAAAAAACTGTCCGCATGTTTTGACATTTTTCACTATCTATGATATTGTGTGAGAACTCACAAATGCCTCAAGGACATGGTTATACCACATTGTAGTATGGCTTCAGGGCTTTCATTTGAGCCCTACACCGTGGGAATCGGTGGAGATATGGTGGAGATACAAGGCTCACAAAATGGTGACTCATGCGGACAGTTTTTTGAGCACATATTAAAACTATATAAATCATCATTTATGACACCATAACAATCATGCCACCATTAAATAAATTATAAAGTGGTGTCATTATGTCATTTTAAAACCATATCTAACTATACAAACCAAAAATTTCCATATGTCATGGTTATATTCACTATAAAAGCCACCCCCCCTGCTCAAAGGGATAATATCCTCTCTCTTTCCTATTCTGGCCTCTCTGCTTGTCAAATTTCCTCTAGAACTGGAGTATGCAAGTCCACTGTGGCCAAGTTCATCAAAGAAAGTCACACAGACAAGGAAAACTTCTGTGAAGGGCGTCCATCCAAGCTCACCTCTACTGATAGGAGGGCTATTATTCAACATATCACTACGGGAAAGGCTGATAATGCTGTCCAGGTCACCTATTACATCAATTCCACCATCAAATTCCCTGTCTCTTCACACACTGTGAGAAACATTCTCAAGACAGCTCATCTCAGGTCAGTAACAAGGAAGAAAAGGCTCTCCTCTCTATCACACATATGCAGAGAGGACTAGCACCCTTCTTTTTTCACATATATACCTTGCCATCTGACCCAATCCTATTTATTGTGGTCTTATATGATCATATAACATGCTTCCAGTCCATGTAATCCAATTCTGATGGGCTAAGGCAAAGGTTAGTCATCTCTGCATATGTGTGATAGAGAGGAGAGCCTTTTCTTCCTTGTTACTGACCTGAGATGAGCTGTCTTGAGAATGTTTCTCACAGTGTGTGAAGAGACAGGGAATTTGATGGTGGAATTGATGTAATAGGTGACCTGGACAGCATTATCAGCCTTTCCCGTAGTGATATGTTGAATAATAGCCCTCCTATCAGTAGAGGTGAGCTTGGATGGACGCCCTTCACAGAAGTTTTCCTTGTCTGTGTGACTTTCTTTGATGAACTTGGCCACAGTGGACTTGCATACTCCAGTTCTAGAGGAAATTTGACAAGCAGAGAGGCCAGAATAGGAAAGAGAGAGGATATTATCCCTTTGAGCAGGGGGGGTGGCTTTTATAGTGAATATAACCATGACATATGGAAATTTTTGGTTTGTATAGTTAGATATGGTTTTAAAATGACATAATGACACCACTTTATAATTTATTTAATGGTGGCATGATTGTTATGGTGTCATAAATGATGATTTATATAGTTTTAATATGTGCTCAAAAAACTGTCCGCATGAGTCACCATTTTGTGAGCCTTGTATCTCCACCATATCTCCACCGATTCCCACGGTGTAGGGCTCAAATGAAAGCCCTGAAGCCATACTACAATGTGGTATAACCATGTCCTTGAGGCATTTGTGAGTTCTCACACAATATCATAGATAGTGAAAAATGTCAAAACATGCGGACAGTTTTTTGAGCCACTGTATACATGCAGCCTGCTTCTACCCATGCACTCACTCCAGCCTTCCAGTCCCACAAAGGCACACCTCCACCCTTGCTGGCATCCAGTTCTCGCCCTGCTCTACATGAGGCGCCAACCACGAATATAGCTAACCCTGCGCTCCTCCCCCTACCTCACTCTGACGATATGGACTTGATTTACCCTGCCAGTATTGTGGAGGCCTGCGGCTATACTCCAGCCACCAAAACAGCAGGCGCTTGTTGCAAGGCCAAAGCCCCAAGGGGCAAAGGCAAGGAGAAGGAGAATGCTGGATACGCTAACCCAAAGAAGTGTTCTCGAGAGGACAGAGATGAGGATGATGAAGTGGAAGCACGAGTGAGGTGAGGCCGCCCTCAGGGGTCCAACAATTATACTGCCTTGGACGTTAAAAGTCTCCTCGACATAGTCCATGATGAGCTCCCTCTTGGTCAACACGGGTGGCAGACTGTTCAAGTTAAGTTCGGCCAATGGGCCAAGGTGAACCATCAGCCTGAATGCAAACTCACTTCACTCAAAACAAAGTTCAAACAGGTAAGATTCAACTTGTCTCATGACTGTGACATTGCTCACAAGTAGAACTACAGTTGGTCAAGACTACAAAGCCGACTGGAGATGGTGTGTGCCCTCCGGAAGTCACACATGCCCATCACATCAAACAACTCATTAATGAGCACACAGGAACCTGTGACCTGCATGACACAGATTATGACGCCATGGAAGATGGTGACAGTCACTCTGTCGTCTCTGACCAGAACCAGGATGAGCATACCTCCCCCCCAATTCAGCATACAGCGATTGCCCGCTCCACTCCTCGTACAGATGCCCCAGCTCCACGTTGCAATACTCGAGGAGCGGCAGCTATGGATTTACTCACTCGACTTTCCACTGCATTTGACCCAGCCACCCAACACAACTGTGACGAAGATCGTGCCAATCGCAGCCTTGCCACCACGCAACTACTTACCCAAAGTCAGCAGCTCTGTGATTCCCAAGCCACTACAGAAACCCTGCATGGCCAACTCTTCAATTTGCATGCTCGCATGTACGACATTGAATGCGAACGTGATCGGGCCGAGCTTCACATCAAGATGATGCAGATGAGCGGATCCACACGCCATCAGCATGTTCGGATGCCCAAACGCAAGAATTTGCATCAAGAGTGGTACCCTGAGGGTGGGGGATCCATTAGGTGGCTTACTGATGAAGGTGAAAGTACCGCATCTGAGGGGCCCAAGCCACCACACCTTCAAAGATGCGGCCCCTCTGGACGTCCCAAGTATTCTGATCGCCCATATTTTGAGGACTTCGCTGATGAGCCTATCAAGCCCATTCAAAAGGAGGGGTCAGTAGAGATTTGATTGTGCTATGATGCTTACAATGTACCTAGGGTACCAATGTACCATGCAAAGATTGCTGCTTCTCACCATTCTGCGTCTTGTGCTCATTCCATCTTGAACATCTTTCCTGTCTGCCTTCTCGTCCATCTCATCATCTCCATTGAAATCGGCATTGCAGGTACTGGATGGTTGGATGCTACAACGTTCTATGTCTTGCGCTTGTTCCGTCTCGAATGTCTTTTCCTTTGTCTTCCCCTTTGTCTGACCTCTTGTCCGTCTCATCATCTCCATCGAAATTGGCATTGCAGGTACTGGACAGTTGGATGCTACAACATTCTACATCTTGCGCTCATTCCGTCTCGAACGTCTTTTCCTTTGTCTTCCCCTTTGTCTGACCTCTCGTCCGTCTCATCATCTTCGTCAAAATCAGCATTGCAGGTACTGGATGGTTGGATGCTACAACGTTCTACATCCTGTGCTCGTTCTGTCTCGAATGTCTTTCCTGTCTGCCTTCTCATCCATCTCATCTGCATTGAAACCAGCATTGCATTCCTCATCTGATATCATCATTACAAGTTTTACATGTTGTATCTACTGGAATTCCAATATGACATGGAAGCACGAGACTCGATCCTTCTTCCTCTGCTCTGAAAATAGCATATTTTCAAAGTCTCGCCACACATCTAGATCATCCTCAGTAGCCTGCCAATGCTTCATGTACACAGTCCGTATCTGATTGATCCCAACACACATGGCACGCAGGTTGTGCAGCCAAAGACAGATTTCGATAAGGTCACTGCGAGCTTCTTGGTTAGCGATGTCGAGTGGTATGCGTAGCCTTCCAAAGGCACCTTGGATAGCTCGCATGCCCCATTCTGCTGTTTGACGGTAAGAGAGTAGTTCACGGTTGAATGCCATATGCTCCTCTATCTCAGCAGCTGAGCCATGCAAAACTTGGCCATGTTTCAGAGGTGCGCGAATGCGTCCATCAATGGAAGTCATCCCATGAGGGAACGCAGTATCTGCGACGATGTAGTAGTCAGGAGGTGTGTTGAGTCGAAGTTGAGTATAGATGTGAGAGGCGAGATGAGAGTTGTGCCAGCTGCCAGGTGCATTCGTCCTTGCCGCAATCACAACGCCTTTGTAAAGTAACTATTGAGTACAAATTGTTGGAGAAAGACCAAAAAACGCACCTTCAGCAGAAAATGCTATGACTGAACTGATAAAATGTTCGGAAAGCCATCCGTTGTAGGTAGCATTTTCAATATCAACATCGTCTGAAGTCTGCACAGGGAGTTTGAGCCTGTCGATGCTTCCGAAAGCACCTTGCAAGCGTGAGTGACACACAACTACGAGGGTACTATAACGCTCGAAATCAGGTCCCTGTGGCCATCAAATTGTGGCATCAACCATAGAGCATAGAGTTTGTAAGAGCATGGGCAGTCCAGAGGTGAGATAGCGAGAAACAGTGGCAGGGATCAACGCAAAAATTTGTTGGAGGCTAGTCTCATGCATGGTGGAGTTGAGATAGTGGAGCATGAGGCCAAGTGCTCCACCAGCATCGAGTGAACAGCAATTCAGGCGTGGAATGCCATGTGAGTTGGTATCAGGACGTGTGATGGGCTTATGGTACCACAGACTGGCAAAGCCGGAAGTAAGGATGAATTCAAATGTTCAAACATCAATGCCCATGGTTGTAATAAATGCGCGATCAGTCTGACTCACATACAACACTTGCCACAGGGTATTCCAATGTGGGTCAGGAAGTAGCTGGGCACGACAAAGGTACAGTCGCTTAGGGTTCCGGGTTTCGACACGATCAAGTCGAGCAAGCTCTATTCCAGCAACCAGCGTAGCTGCTAACATCCTCACGTCCTCTTCATTGTCAAGAAATGCTGTCTCTTCTCCGTCATTCACCAGATTATGATACTGTAGTAGATCGTCCATTGCAGTTTTGACTGAATTATTTTATTCCAGATGCGTTATGGTTGTGTTTTCTGTACAGATTATCTTTCATAAATATATTTCAAAGTCCGTCATAATCTATTCCGCATTATTTTGCCTATGGATAGTCACCCAAAGTCTGTATAAAATCCTACGTACTCCTACTGTTTCCTTATTTTAATGTTGTGTAGTTGTTGTGTTATGAAAAACTGCTCAGAACATTTTGCAACTCTGGGCCAGAGATAGTAAGGGTAGCGAAATCTGACCATGAGTCACATATTCAAAAAAGGTAGTAGGCTCCTATGCCATGTTGCAAGAAAGCGAAGATCAAAGTCACGCGTGAGCTGGCCCCACAAAATTTTATCGTCGAAAATTGATAGGGAAATAAGTGAGTCGATCTAACTTATAATGGCGGGCTGCGGTGCGCGCGTCTGTCACGTAATCGTGTTGAACTTTGCAGATTCAGGAAGTCGTCGAGCATTCAATTGTTGGTACAAGTAACCGAGAACCACCTAGGGGCAATAGAAAGAGCACATCGGAACGCTGTGCGAAGGGTCGATGGTGCAGCCAGAGATAATCGTGTTTGTCTTGGGATGTGCAGTCTCTGTACAATATTGACTATGAAGGATGTCTCGTCAGTAGTACGTATTATGAAACTTTGATGCAACTAGGTGTCTGGGAGCGCCAAGCACTTTGCCGGCACTTGGTCAAAACTCAACCCAACTTCAAAGTAGTTTTACCTCAATCATGACAAATATACTCAGTCTGAGTCAAGACTCTAATTTCGGGTGGGAAGCTTCCTTAATGCAGTACCTCCTATTGAACTTGAACTACAGTAACCCAGATACACGTCTCTCGCTTGCACTTTGACCACCATGTCGTCTGAAACTCCTTTCCAAATTGACGTCCCCGACGAGAAACTGACCACCCTCCGCGCCAAACTTGAACTCGCTACTTTCCCGGATGAACTGGAGGATGCGGGGTGGAAGCATGGCCCACCTCTGGCGGATATGAAGCGGCTCACAGAGAGGTGGAGGAACGAGTATGACTGGCGCAAATATGAAAAGGAAATCAATGAAGCGCTACCAATGTTTACCCGCGATATTGACGTGGATGGTTTCGGCGCGCTGAACATTCATTATGTTCACAAGAAGAGCGAATCTGTTGACGCCATTCCGCTGTTGTTTTGTCACGGATGCAAGTCGTTTCGTATGCATGCAGACCAACATTTCCTGACCTTAAACAGGGCCTGGGAGCTTCTTGGAAGTCGGGAAGATCTTGCCCCTCCTGACTGCATCAGCCCCTGAACATCCTAGCTTTCATGTTGTGGCGCTCAGTTTACCCGGTTATGGCTTTTCGGAGGCTCCCCGCAAACAAGGCTTTGGTATGAATCAATATGTCGAGGTGATTACTATTCATCACACGTTCTAAGCTCTCTACATGTTGATTGGTGTACCTAGGTAGCTCACAAACTCATGATCGCTCTCGGGTACAACGAGTATGGTACGTCGTTAAGTTACAGCTATTATTCGCCTCCGATGGATCAACGAATTTGTTCATTTCTCTTACAGTTACCCAGGGAGGTGACTGGGGTGGCCTTGTGAGCAATGTTTTACAAGCAGACATGACTTATCGTTGACGTGTTCTCAGATCACTAGGAAAATGGCTTCTGTGTATGGTGGGAGGCATCACAAGGCATGGCACACCAACTTTCCAATGTATGTCATTTTCTCGCTCAGCACATACCTCGACTCATTCTCGTCTATGTAGTCCTGAACCGCCCAGCTGGAAATCACCCCTGTCTTTCTTGTCTTTCTTGCTAACCCCGTGGTCTATAGAGGAAAAGGCAGGCATCGAGCGCACCAAATGGTACCGCACCAAAGGATATGGCTATGTCACTCAACAGAGCACCCAGCCTCAGACACTCGGTTACAGTCTCACTGATAGCCCTGTTGGCTTGCTTGCTTGGATCTACGAGAAGCTAGTCCTTTGGTCCGACAATTACAACTGGTCTGATGATGAAGGTAGCAGCAGTATTGCTTTTTCGAATATTGCTCACCTGTGTTTTCAATAGTGCTGACGTGGGTTTCATTGTATTGGTTCTCCCGCGCCGGTCCCGCTGCCTCCCTCCGCATTTACTTTGAATTGCGTGGCGATTGCGAGGATTTAGGTCCAAACCCTACTATTCCTATGGGAGCATCGTTTTTCCCGAAGGAGCTCATAGTTTTACCCACAGCGTACGTTTCTGCCAATCAACTTTATTGAAGCTAATATGAGTGTGTAGGTGGCTGCGCATGTCGAACAACATTGTTTTCGAGTCCCATCATAAGACAGGAGGCCATTTTGCTGCCACTGAACGGCCGGAAGAGCTTGTTCGGGATGTGCGGAAGATGTTCGCGAAAGGGGGCCCTGCGTTTGCAATTGTCCCCGGAAGAACTGGATACGCTTGACAAACATTATTCCTGTGTAGTGCCATTTGTACGCAGAACTCTACCGCTTGCTTTCTCTAGGACTGCAAGGAATGCATTCATTGAGGTCCTTGGGCGCCGCAGCCCCTGCTCAATTGTGCTGACGTGAGAAGGTAAGTAGCAATTTACTCCCTGGCACCTTAGTTAGTCATTAGCCTGCGATTGTTGAGAGTTCTAGCTGCACCCACCTGGGTCCTCGAATAGGTTTTGACGGGTTTGCATTCGAACTAGACTACATGACATGTATGAATAACTATAGACTAATCCTAATCTTCTTATGAGCCGTCCATGCAAGAAAATGCTCGTCGAGTGCCCCTCAGGCAAGTGAGGTTAGTGATTGGTGTTCTCAGTGTTCTGATCGTGTTCGATGGCTCGTTGGAACAAGCGGGCATAAAAATATATTTATCAAGGTTTGAACACCGGTACCGCAAGAGTCTCCGCAACAGGGTTTGTGAAAAGCATACAGCGGTTTATCGATTATCAATGAGACCAATTTGATTGTTATATCACTGTACACCAGCCAACAGATCCCGTATATGTACAAACTTTCAGCCATGCATGTGTATCAAAAATGGTGAAAGAGGATATCGAAGTCAACCTTATTTTGAAGTACACCGTGAGCATCAGTATGGTTTATAGACTCAGCTGGGACCCTAACCCTACTTCAATTGCGCCGCCGTTTTTGGGTGGGCACTTCAAACGTCAACTCAACGCCAACTTCAGTTTGACTTCAGTTGTCTCTTTCAAAGTTTCACCAAGAACTTTTACTGTCGCCATCATTCTACTGTGGCGACAGATACTCAGAACTGGAATAGCTCAAGGGTACGATGTCTGCAGGAATGGGAGAAACTATGCGAACGCGAGCAATAACATCCTCGTTGACTGCACGCCTGTCCCTGACCGTGCCATCCGCTTCTCAAACTTATGAACCCCTTGTTAGGTCTGCCCTTCGACAACGACTCATCCACAATATATTTGCGTTCTCCGTTGCATTTACCCTGGTCGTCAGTATTCTTTTGGGAGGGGAGGATGAGACGAGTGCTTTCGCCAGGTTGCTTTCGCCGGGAACTTGGACGATGGCATGCCTTAAGTGGTTCGTTGGTGTGTTGCCTGTGATTGCCATGAGAAAGGTTTACCTCACTTGTGAGTTACTTTATCTCGTCTGTATGCTGTCTTATATCTGTTGCATAGCTGCCGCCACACCTGCGACTTCACCAGCCAAAATGCTCACGAATGCTATTGCAAAGCCAAGCACACGACGGTGCTTAGCAGTGTACACGTCATGTACATTGATGCTCATTACGCTCTATATGAGCTCATTTACGTCGGAAGAACGTGAAAACCTTCGTTTGAATGCCTTCGTAAAGTCAAGGTATGTGATTCAGCAATCTTACTGTATATGCCCGGAAGAGGGTTGCATGATGCGCGATTTCATTCCGAGTGTTGTTGAATTTTGGAAGCTGAGGTTTTTTACCAGGAAACATCCGTACTACCTCAATGGTCGACTGCTCTTCTTCGTCCTGGCCCAGTTGTGGCTAGCCGCTAGTTTCTTACTTCGGAACATCATGTTGGACCGTTTTGTGTTCAGATGGACGAAACCTTTTAACTCATCGGAACTTGTGAGTGTCTTCCCTCCTTCCTGGACCATGTTTGACGGTCCACCCGTAGCCATATTCCCCGAGCAATCTTCTGAAGCTATCTTTAACGATGGCTCTTTTCACCTCATTTTCATTGATGGTGTATAGCGTCGCTTTTGGTCTATCGCGGATGCTTGCCCTCCCACTGCTCTTAAAGCTTCCGGTAGTGAGCAGTATTGTTCGACCATTTGTTGCACATTTTGCAAAGGGTACATGGACTCTAACTCTACCTATATTACACTGGTCGCTTTTGGTTCGATCATTTATGATGGGCCTCGTGACTGTGATGAGTTGGGAGTTCGCAGAGTCGTTATTTGATGCATATGTTCCCCAGGTAATTATCCTTTGCAACGGCAAATCTGCATTCTAAGGTCTTTTTCAGCCGATCAAAGTTGGCACCCTTACTACAGATCCTAATGTAACAGTGGTCTCGGGGATTACAACTCAGGACACAGTGTTCGCACACTTTGCATATGCTGAGTTAGCAGAGCTGGCTTCAGATGAATCCTCGGCAGGGAGCGCCCGTAGAACAGCCCTATTTGGTGACCAAAAATATAGCCCAAGCTTGTGGAATGTCTTGGCCCGGCAGTCGCTCCTGCGTCTTGGACAGGATTATCAAACATTCCTGCGACGCGGTGCATCGATCACTCCTCCTGTCGTTGTAGCGCCGGTAATCCCCAAACCTAAGGATCCGCCATCGACCCCTCTGATTCGAAAGGCTATCTTCAAGGCTCCGCGACAATCTCCTCTTGGCAGTATGCTGGATTCAGTTTCGTCAAATTCAGAGATCTCGAAGGCTGCTGCGGCAGTGGCAGGCGAAATGGAGGAACGGGCCAGTCAAATGCACATTCCAGAACTCTTCCGGTCTGTGGCGCCGTCATCTGCAGCTGCCCCAGCAGCCAATGCTGTCCTGGCTAAACCCGCATCAAGCATCATATCCGGCTTCATTGCACAGGTGGAATCGCACAGTAGGGATCTTGTTGTGGGCCGTTGTCCAGCTTGGTTGAAGGAGACGGCGATAACATGGAATAAATGGTTTTATCGAGAGCGCTTGAATAAGGTCGTTGAAGTTTGCTTGCCAAATAGGGAGCTCGATACACTCATCATTGAAGGTGCAGTGGATTTTCAAACTTTATATGCAACTATTAAACTCTAGCCACAGCGCTATCGCGCTTCGTTTGCGCTTCCCTGAGCGAAGATAGGTATGGCGTGGTTCAAAGGGACATACCACGCATCCTTGAAGCCTTTCTCTCATTTTTATCTGCAATAGAGGGATATCAGATTGAGGTGAACGCCAAATATACACCACCGACACCGGATGAACTCTCTCAAGGCGACACAAAGATATTGGAAGAAAAAGAAACGATGCGTCTAGAAGTTGCCAGAGCTGGTGACGTACTGGTCGTTGTCTCAGATGGTTTGTGACTTTATACTTCGCCCAGAAACTTTTTAACAATTCAAATTTCACAGCGCTAAAAACTGGGGTAGCAAACATCTCGCGCACGTTCAGCGATAAGCTAGTTGCTTTCAAGTTTCCCCCTCGGACTGCACGGAAGCTACAGTCATTTGTTGACTATACTTAGTGTTTCGGCGAGTTACAGTCGTGGATGATGCACCCCCCGGGTCCTCCAGATCTCAGGGGTTCTGGGACTGCTTCCGTATTATGTATCTCGTCGTGGCAGCGTTATTGACACTTCAATGACTGAGGGCAAGCAGTCCCCACTGTATTTATCCTTCGAACTTCGGAATGTCAGACTAATATCTATCGCAATCATACGCAACCAATAATCCTGTTCACTGTTTACTTCCCACTGACAAAAATACACTCCGATAAAATATGCGAGTGCCGAGAACTCAAGAAGCGATGGAGCGTGGACAAGAACCGTCGGTAACGCTTTTTTTGTCCGACATGCGTGACGGCAGGAGAGAACGTGCGTCATGAATGTGTGCTTATCGCGTGCATCTGGTTGGGTTCATCGAGTGTAAATTGTCTTCTTCAGTTACCCTCTGGCTTGAGGATGCTCATGCATTAAACGACTTCCACCCAGCCCAAGCCTTGACTCCCGCACAGTGGGTATGAAGTATACCTATTTTACTTACTACTAATTGAGGCTTGCTTTAATACTTGCTGGACAAGAACCTCACATGGTGATATAAGTATGTAACGATAGCAACAAAGAGGACCAACACAAATATCGTGATGTACATATTTCTGCTTGCAACACCAAGGAAGTGCGGAATACAATCAAAAAACGAACGAAAACAGAAATGCGGTCTTAATGAAAAAGATAAAAGATAAAAAATAATCGAAAATGCAGGCAGATCAAGCCACGAGAGAGACCAGCTTATCGCTAACCCCGAGCTTCGAAGCGATCCGTTGGAGTCTCTCAGGCTCATTCTCGAATCCAGCGCCTCTGAGCATGATAGCCATATAGCCAAACGCCTTGGGAGCATCGATGGCAATATCGTCCAAAAATTCAGCCATGGGCATGAATCCCTTCTCAAATACCTCGAGCGTACACTGTCCGCTGCTCATAGCCTGCGCGAAGAAGTCACCTACCAACCTTGCATCTGCCTCTTTGCTCTCGAGTGCGGATCCAACCAGCTTGTTTACGAGCCGGAAGCGGTGTTCATCAGGAAGATTGGTGAAGTAGACTTCTGCCTCCTGAAGATTGCGAATGGCAAAGAACTCTTTCACATCTTCATCAATCATCTTGACGTCTGCTTCTGATATGGAGGGTGTGCTTCTAGGTTCTTCTTTCGAAGGAGTCGTGGCGTTCTTTTTATTAGCATAAACAGACCGTGGAAGAAGCTGGAGCTTCCTGTACTGTACAGCGGGCTCAGGAAAACCGGCATGACCAAGATCAACGTCCGGCTTAGGTCTCAACGAAAGACTGGGTTTCGTGGGCATCTTATGGGTGAGTTCGAGGTTCTGACTGAAGATATTTGGGCTGGAATTCAGCTGTGAAGGTGTCTCCTGCTTGTTGTCCTTCTTTCTGCCCACGAACACGCTACTTGGACTCATGACCATGGACGCACCCATGCTGATCTTGCCAAACTGTGACTCATCATCAGCCTTGGGAAGCGCCCATGGAACAGAGCCACCTGGAGCAGCCCAGCCATCAGGGCCATGCTCTTCGCTGTGCTCGCTGCCACCTCGACGGCCACCGCTAGACATGAGTATCTGACGGTTGTCCAGGAGTCAGAAGCGGAGCTCATGTGGAAGATTGGTGAAGTAGTTGATGTCTGCTTCTGACATGGCGATGGGTACGCTCTCGCGTTCTTCTTCCAAAGGAGTTATTATGCTCTCGTCAGCAGGGTAAACAGTTTGTGGAAAAAGCTGGAGCTTCCTGTGCTGCACAGTGGGCTCAGGAACACCATCATGACCGGGATCGGTGCTTGATTTTCGACTCGACGAATGACTGGGCTTCGTGAATGCCTCAGTGGTGAGTTTAAGGTTCTGGCTGAGCATACAGAACATATTTGAGTTCGAATTCGTTCGAGAAAATGTTTCCCGCCTGCCGTCCTTCTTGCCGGCCCCGAAGATGCCACTTGGACTCATCACCAATGTCATGGGTGGACCATCAGTGCTGTTGCCAAACGGTGACATATCTCCAGCCTTGGGAGGCGCGCGCGGAACATAGTCACCGGCAACAACCCAACCATCAGGCCTATCCTCTTGGTCACGGTCACCGCCCCTTCGAGATCCACCGCGAGACATGCTCATCTGACAGTTGAGCCACTCCTCTGCAGCTGCTCTCTTCTTGGCGGCCTGTAACACGAGTGTCAATAAAACAATGTTTAATGACACCAATCTATCTTACCAGTGCGTGAACGGTAGCAATTGTCACAGGTGCAGCATGGCGGCTCATCCATATACGGTCACGCAACTCGATAACATCCTAAATATCACAATGATGAGCACAACCGACAAAGATACAAAAAAATGCCGCACCTGAAGCATGAACTGCATACGAGTGCTGATATTATGGCTCTCGCCTAGCTCCTTTATACGCGTGAAGTAAACGTCCATACGCGCGCGGGCTTGCGGCGTGTCAAGCAACTGGCCAACTGTCTTCAACATCTGACACAAGCTCTCAATCCTCTGTTCCTCGGGGTTCTCGATGTTGCAAAGCAGCTTCACCACACACTCGTGCATGAAACGCTCGGTTAGCATCCGAACCTTGAACAGCTCGCCAATAAACTTTATGAGATTGAGACCCTGGCGCTTCGCCTTCTGTGCAGCGTAGTACTCATCAGAATCGAGCCCAGCATCCAATGTGCCCTTCTTGTCGTTAGCAGCCTTGGTTGCGTGATCGCTGGAAGCCTTTGCCCCAGCGGCTGCAGCAGTAGCCTCCTTGACGAACCACCGGCGCTCAAAGTATTCTTGACACAAGTTGAGGAGATAATTGCGGAACAGCTGTTTGCCAGCAATAGGCCTCTCCCCTCTGTTCTTGATCCCGTCGTCGTACACAGGTCTGATTTGCTCCATCATCTTCTGACATAGCCGCGCGTACATCTCACCCCAAGCGGTCTCAACAGTCACCTTCTTGAACACCAGCCGGATGACTCGGATGAGCGTCTGCCCGTCCCCATCCATGCCCTTGTTAGCCCAGTGGATGATCTTGTCTGAAATCGTTTCGAATTTCTCCATCGTGAGCTTGTTGAGCAGAGCCCTGACCTTACGGTTGACCAGCTCAGGCGAATCAACATCAGGTTGAACCTTGTAGGTCGCACTCGTAGGGACCCAACGGTTGGCAGACAATTCGAGAGGCACAACGGGCTCGAAGCCAGCACCTAGGATAGGTGCAGCGCCAAAGTCAGGACTATGTTCTTCCTGGGACACCAGAGCCTTGTTGGCATCACCATACTTCTTACCGCGTTTACTGCGTATGCGGTTGATGCCATGCATGGGATGGCCAGGCCCACTTGTGGTGGGCATACGCACCATCGGGGAGCAAAATTGGGAAGAAGCACTGCTATTTGAAGCAGAACGGGAGTTGGACATGGCAAACCGCTCCTCGCTAGTAAGTGTGCTTCCTAAAACTTGGAAATTGCCCATCTGGAAATCGCTTGGGATGGAGGTAGACGGCTTCTCCTTGTACATGTGCATGAACTGCATAAGGAAGTCACGGTCGTATCTACACGAGGCAATGAATGAGACATTCGAAGTGAAGGAGCAAAACACACACCTGAATTGGCCATCCCTGACGTTCGCATTGAACCCAACCCTCGGGCTCTCGGGGTGCGCAACCTCGCTTAGATTCTCGATGACACGTGCAGTGAGGAGTGCGGAAGGGGGAGGCGCAGATGAAGTAAGGTGGATAGGGCTAGGAGGCTTTCGTGGAATCTCAGTGGGAGGGGACATCATAAACGTATCTATCCGAGGTGACTCCTTCAATTTCTTCCCGCTATTACCGTTAAGCTGAGGCACAGGAGCTTCGTTATGCTCGGAGACTTCGCCGTCCTCTGGCTCTTGAGAATCGCTGGCGAGTGATGGAGTCTGAACTATGCCATCAAATTCTTCAGCTTCAAGCTGGGCTTCCTCTACCTCAGAGCATCTTGCTGTTTCCGTTCCTTTTCTTCTAGTGCGATGTGCGCCTGCTCTGCCTCAAGACAGCCTTCCTCCTCCTGGCGTAGGAGCTCCTTCTCCTCTTCCTCTGCTTGTCGTATCCGCTCCTTTTCTTCCTCCTCCATGAGTATCCGGTTCTCATCAGCCTTCCTCTTGCGTGTAGCCTCTTCCTCCTCCATCCGCTTGGCTTGTTTCTCTCTTTTGCGCTTCTTCTTTGTACCATCCTTCTTCCATACCAAAACCGAAGGTTGCGGTCGGTTGGTCACAACGGGCGATGCGGGTGAGATAGGAGCGGTTGGTAGCCGGAGACTGAGCTTCTTGAGATCATCAAGTGTCACCTCCATGCCATCCTGGCTCCTGATGGTAATCTTGGATATAGAGCGTCCGCCAGGAACAAAATCGCGGGCGTTCGTGTTAAGGCAAGGTGCGCTGGCGGTAGAGGGTGTGGACAGCGGGGAAGATATGGAGAGAGGTGTTTGAGGTGTATGAGGGGTGTGCGGGATAGCATGTGCCATTGTGGACGTACCAGGTAGCTGAGGGGCTGCGGAGCGAGGTGACATGGAAAGAGGTTCAGGTTGATGGGCATGTTGCGGGTGAGACTGTCGGTGCATATGTTGGGAGGGCATAGCATTATACCCCCAAGGAGGTTTTGGTTGATGTGGATCCATATACTTGGACCACGTTGAGAACACAGTTGATAAATATGGTTAGAAAAATGGAGTACTAACATAGTATCCACCCCATGACATGGGTACCTGCGGTGCTACACCTCCTGGAAGTGCTTGATGTGGGTGTGGAGCCATTCGGAGACTGGCAGGGATGGGCAGGCCACCGGGATCACCTGAGGCAGCTCCTTGTTGAGACTGGCCTTGCACGTTTGGCCTTGCACGTTTGGCACAGCACAAGAGAATGCAGGGGAACGTGGGGTGCCAGAAGGCTGCTGTGATGAGCGCATGCCATTGAACACAAATTGCGAGGGTTGCTGGAGCCGTTGTGACGATAGCTGGTGATTTGGAGGTAAATTAAAGAGCCGGGTGGAGGGAGAGAATGTGCCAAAAGACGACTGGGAAGACGATGACGAGGGATTCTGAAAGAGCTTTACAATGTCTGCTCTGGACGGTTTAGGTGTAGATGTAGTTGATAGTGCAGCCTGTTGAAGATAGCGCACTGGAGTTGGAGGGTGTTAATGACAGGGAAGCTCGTAGAAGCTGCTTCGACGACCCTGTGGCCGATGCGGAAGCTGAGGACTTTGCCATTTACATGATTGGAAGATTTAGCAGGTACGGATCCGAAAAATTTTATGGCTTCAGTTTTTACACGGGGAATGGCAGCCGGTGATGAACATAACGGGGCAGAGGCATCTATTGATCCAAACACAACAGATGCTAAGAGTAACAGTTAGAACGAGAAATGGTTTTGGAGTGATAGTAAAATCAGACCTGGTTGTGCTATTACTGATCCGACATTATTTCGAGGGACTGAGACGCCATCTTTTATGGACACGCCCCAGCCTGACTGCACTTGGACGTCCTCGAGTGAGAAGTAAGCTATTGGAGCGGAAGACTGCGATCGCGACGAAAGAGCTGCAGATGAATTGCTCTGCAGGTGAGCCCTTTGACCAAGCTGACTCCGAAGGGAGAGATGTAGTAGAGACTTTGCTCATTCTATAAACACACAACAGGAGGGCTTTGTCGAAAAGCCCATGCGTACTTGCTTTTCGTACTATATACCTGTCTTGGATTCGCAAATTTCCGATATCGACACGCTCTTGCAGTGCGGTCCATGATGAATATTAATTCTTCGAAAGATGGGAGTCGCGTGAGCGTTGTTACGGATTAGTTTAGTCGTTAGCAACAACGAACTCACGATTTTTCGATGTCACAGACATTTTGGTAGAATCGACAATGTGGTTAGTGTTAGCAATATTTCTGCCAGTGGCAATTGCCGGCAGTAGGTCGAAGGTGGTTGGCAGAACTAATCGACTTGGTAATTGTTCCTACTAACAAGCAATAAAATTGGACAGATGCCTTTGAATGTATCTTGGTCAGTGTTGTGGGTAGAAGTCAGCCAGACGTCTGACCACTTTGTTCCCAGGGAGAAAGTCATACAACTACTTTTTCAGACTGCTAACTACTACTCGGCATCCATCGAGGGCTGTAACGACAACCACCTCAAACATTTAATTGACCTGCCCCAAAGCCCCTGATCACACCGGTTGAACCTATTTTGCCGTAGTAGAAACATAGTTGAGAAGAGCCAAAAACTGCCCACAATTCTTTTTGCCGACTTACCATTCTGGAGGTCAATTCCCCCTACACTAAATGTGGTCACATGATTTTCCACTGTTCGTTCAACGTCCTTCTCTGCATTCTGCAGGTGCTTTCATTACATAGAATGGTATCTGTGGAATCAACAATATCAGCAGTAGTACTTGGCTGGCGAGTTTAACGACAACCTTGGCACTGGACCGTCCAGCCGCTCCAACCGAGGAGCTGTTTCTTGATATCAAGCCCCTACATTGATCGCACATGATCTTTCTACATTCCCAACCGTAATACACCTAAATTGAGATTCAAATATACCTATCGCGTCGATGACTTGGAGAACATAATAAACTGCCAGTAGTGGCTGACCACTCCTGCGCCGTGCTTCGCAGTCAGCCTCTACCGAGTCAGTTGTCATATTTCATGGCTGCTCTTCATAACGTCCCACCAACTTCCTCTTTTCTGTGATCACCATGCATCTCACCGATACATCTTCGTCTATGCCCGACTCTTCCGTCCCTCTCGCCAAGTCCCAGACACCCATTCGGCGTGTAACTTCTCTCTTGCGTTCTCCACTCCAAATCAACAGATATGCCCGTCCACGTTCACACTCCATGGACACCGTAAGGCCGCAAATCAGTCGCCCCCTTTATTACACTCCTCCCCCTGCGGTCGCCCTTCAGACCACATCTCTATCTACCGACAGTATCATCATTACATCCTTCCAACGTGCACCATTTTGCTGCCATGAGGACCTTGTTACCATGCCTCGCCCTGAACTCGTACAGGTTGCTCAGAGCATCAATGGACGTCTGCCAAAGGCACTGCAAATTGCATGCGGATGATGTGGAAGATGCGGACATTCGGAGAGCGATAGAGGTCCTAACTGGGATCCGCACAGAGACAGCACGAGAATCAGTACCACCCGTTCCAGGCGCACCTAGAGCTATACGGACAAAGATCATGGGTGCGACATTGGATGAAGCATCCTGGGATGTGAATATCGACTCGAGTGCAACGGACGAACGAACTATCATTATGCCTTCTAGTCCACTTGCCATGCGTCGCCAGCGCTTGGAAATGCTCAGGAGGAACAAGAGCAAGAGGAACCTTTGAAAAAGCGAAGACGTGCTTCACAAGACAATGCTAATACCCCACCTGGTCGTGTGCCTACTATGTCGGGCTCACGCCTCCTCGAGAGTCTTGATGTCTCAGCCTCTCCTCTGCTTGTGTCAGACAGCAGCGAGGTCGTTAGCTCCTTGACTAGCACTCAAGGGAATGTACAGCGTCGACGCAGCGCTCGTCTCTCCAGGGACAACTCTCACCCGCGCGAAGTTGTAATTCGCCTCCCCTTTGCGTCTTCGCCCAAAGCACAACCTACCCGCATGCTCCGTTCGCACTCTCAAAGGACAAGCCTTCCAACATCTGCGCAGGTCTCGAAGCTCAAGCGTGCTCAATCCGATGCCAATGTCACTCTTACACGTCCTAAGTACCGTTTTCGACGCGGGCGCGCTACACCCAAAGCTACCGATCCTGCCAATTACGTGCTAGATGATGAGAAGACATCGCAGGCGCTACCGGTGATCCCCACAGGGTCTGGACTTGCTGTCGATTTTCTCACTCCTAGGGCCCGTAGTGCGAGCGCGTCGACCACGGTCTCGCAGGAGAAGAGTGAATTCGGGTCAGGGGTCGTGGAGGCAATGGGGGAGATGGTGGTCTGAGTTAGAACACGCCTGAACGACGTCATCCAGCTTCAGAAGTTGAGAGGTCCCGAGTCATTTCAGTTGAGGTGTATTTCACATATTTATATATACTAGTATTTTTGCTTCTACGAATGGATGCTATGTTACAACAAGTATTACAAAATACAACCTTGAATGTATTGGTCCGGTCAAGATAATTGTTTCTCGTTTAACGGCGGAGAATAAATGGGTCTGATCTTGTTTATGTGTTTCTGGTAACCTCTATACGCACTGCGGGCATCTTGAAACAGTGACCTCAGGAGTTCCTTTTCATCATCTCTAAACCCGGGCAGTTCACTAGAGCTAAGGTCGAACGACTTTTCTTCCTCGTGTTTTTCCAGTTCCTCCATTACTTTGTCTCTCCATGTATTCCATACTCTTGTTTCATTTGGGATGAAACATTGCAACACCTCTTTTGGCTTGAAGTCAGAATTCGAAGGCCTCCGGACGTTATCGCTGAGAACCAAACATGCAAAAACCGCCTGAGCAGCTCTGTTTTTCAGTGCAATTTTCAACATAGGCGGATCACGAAGCGCTTTCAACAAGACACCGATTTGTATTTTCTCCTGTTCCAGTGACGAGAGAAATGAATTGTATGCCCATGAGGCTGCGACTGATGAGATGAACATGATCTGCCCGAACGTCGATGCCTGGGGGATGAGAAGGAGCTGGAGAAGGAACTGCGCGAGGAGGAGAAGCGAGCAGAGTCCAATTCGTCTGAACTCTGGGCCGCCACCCATTTTCAGATCAAACTTCCCTTTGGTTATTGGATCGATGTCTTTCTCTGCGCCTCTGAGGATGACTACATCGGTTCGCATGAGTAGCAACCCGTCTGCAGGCGGCACGCCCGGAGCGGCTTCCTTGACGGAAGCAAATTCGAGTTGAGCAGTACCCATGACAAGGCAAGATACGCCACTTGAAATGATTCCTAACATGATGAGGGCGAATGCTAGCCAATCTCCTGAAGCAGCAGAAATCCCGCACGTCGCCAAACTGATTGTAATGGGAATAGCGGCCAAGAGAGCATGATGGGTGCTCATCATAGGCGCCCGGTCCAAGTGCTTTACCACTCCGTCTCCGACATCAACAATGGTGACGGACAGAGGCGTAGTCTCCCTGCCTTCCACTTCCGCCTCTGGCTGAATTTCTTTGGTCTTCTGTACCATGAGGTACGCCAGGTGACCGGTGGTCATCTCTGTGCCCGAGAAGACACCCCAATAACGAGGGCCAGGTTTTCCATCTAGCCCAAATACCTCAGCGGGCGTGAGATTTGGGCCAGGGAAAAGACCATCCCAGAATCTTGAGTTCGCGAGCCGCCCGAACTTTTTGGCGACAGTATAACTTCCTGGTGAATTATACCAGCCTAGCCAGCGCCTCCCACGATAGAGATGAACAGTGGTCATCGCTGCGATCGCTTCATCGCCACCAAAGAATCCAGCAACGTTAGATGTATTGAGATTGAATTTTGACTGGTTGATTGGTACAGAAAAGGTGGGCTTGTAACTAGTGATGATATCCATGATGTTGCTGTTAAACGACCTCCGCAATACAGCCGAGCGTCATGGTTTGTGACATACATAGCCTCTAGGCGCTAAACAAATTGGTGGGAAATAATTTTACTCCGTGTTGGACAACGACAACGAGTCATACTAATAGAATACACGTTGCATTCTACAACGATCATCGACACACGTACGCGTGCACAGACAGTCCAGCAATTAGCAGGAATCACATGCCTCAAGTATCCTCCGTGCCACTGTCAGTCCTTCATCATCCTCTTTCGTATCTCCTCACCCTTCGTTTGTAACAGCACCTGGACGCGTTCGCTTTTGATATTTCTCATTTTGCACTGGGTAATACCTTTTGCTTCTTAATGTCAGACACATTGCAACACACATTCTCTCTGGTATTCGAGACAGGTGCTAGCTACCTGTCGTTCATGTCATCATTGGCAAATTTTCTAGGTTCAATCAGGACGCTCGTCACTTTGTCGACCACTGAGCCCTGGTCTTGGAGGACCATATTTCTTATTAAACGTTCATCTGTACATAATCTGCCGTAAGTACCTGCATCTTCGTATGCACCATCCCTACATCATCCCTTCAAACTTCCCAACACATTAGAAGGAAGTTAAACGTCCGGTATTAGCTCTGTCTAGGGGAGGCTACCATCACCACGACAACGTCCAATTCACGCCTTACTCCATTACTTCAGAATCCACCATGGTCTTACACTCAAATCCTCCGGGTTTAGCTCTCAATCACCATTCATACACGCAGCCCTGCAGCCACCAGGCTTAATATTGAATAGAAAGGGGCACCCGGAAATTGTTAGACAGACTTCTTATCAGCAAGAATCATGATAAGAAGCGCCAGCTCATGACAAGCTTGCAGGGCCTTCTCGAAATCGCCCTCCAAAAGGTGTTCTCCGCACAGGATATATCATATAGCGTTGCTGATTCACCCACAAAAAATATAGTGGATTAATTTTCTGCGTGTACGAATTCCCGCACGGCATGTGATTTGTCGGGTCCAGATGCCCGGAGGGCTGTAAGCCTGTTCCCGATGTGTATAAGCTTGGCCACCGGGTGCTACTGAATTGTTCAGTATGCTTGTATATATCTGGATATAAGAACTTGCCTTTCTCTGACTGACTGCCACTTAGGGGTCCCGCCACCTCGCCAGGTCTTTGTGGGTTTACCTGACAGGCTTGCTTCTTTTAATTGTCTCATCGACACCAGTTGCATAGGTTTCGCGCCACGCGCCACCGCCAATCAAGCTGTGTTTTATTTGCATCGTGTTCCCTCAGTCAGTGAGCGTGGTATTACAGATCCCATCATTTCCGCTAAACCATAAGACACGTTCTTGGACCAGCAGGCCACAGACCAGATACTGGTTCCCATGCCAATCGGAAGATTATTATCAATCCCGAAGCTCAGTCTTCCATTACACTCGCGTATATTTGATCCCCGCATTGACCATTGCTCTTCTCAACACGAATTAGTGACCTAAATGACGCGGCTATAACTTTCCGAGTGTGACGATTTTTTCGAAACACCATACAACCGCATGTACTGACGTTACAGGGGTCAACCGGGAAGTCGAAAAATCAACGCATAAAAGGAGGCAACTTTTGAAAAGCAAATCGCACCTCAGGCCTCAACTTTGAACTCATCCGTTCCTCAGCTATACTATCATACTTCATACACCTCCCAAGCAAACTGCTTTGCATCATGAAATTCTCATCCGTCCTCTTCTCCATGTCCGTCTTTGTCCTTTCCTCTTTGGCGCAAACGACAGAAACCCTTTCATACGACCCCACGTACGATGACGCCTCCCTCTCCCTTTCCAGTGTCGCTTGTTCAGATGGCACTTATGGGCTTGAGACAAAGGGATACACGACCCTAGGATCACTTCGCGCATTCCCTAATGTCGGCGGTGTCTACACCGTGACGGGCTATGATTCCGCTGCATGCGGGACCTGCTATAATGTCACTTACGGAAATAATACCGTTGCTATCCTTGCGGTTGACGTATCCAAAGCCGGCTTCACAATCTCAGAGACGGCGATGAACACCTTGACTAACAATTTGGCCGTTGAGCTGGGAAGAGTGGATGTTACGGCAACCCAAGTGGATGTGTCAGTATGCGGCTTGTAGTTGCATTGTGTCGGAGTATGTCGGTATGTCTGCTATTGCAGGTCTGTTATGCCTTCGTTGAACATTTACCCTTTCAGGCAGTTTCCTCTGCGTCTGAGTGCCTACTAGACAACGTTAGGACTTGGGACTTATAGTTTCGATGGACTTGAATTGCATATCAAAATTAGCTGAACTTCTACACGAACGACGGACTTTTATTTGGTAAAATTACATGTAGATGTAGGCTACGGTTGTTTTGGACTTATGGACTTACATAATTGTACATATCTGCATCGTTCATGAATAGTTTACGTAGTGTCGTGGACTCGACAACATTACGGACCAACTGCAAGTAGATATCGCAGTATATTCCAGACAGCATTTCGTGAAGCTCCGCCCTCGAAAGATGCATACGCTTGAAGGAGGATGTGATGCGGACCTGAAGCGATGCCCCAATTTCCAAGGCACTAGTATCAACGCATTTGAAGCTTGCACGGTAACGGGTATGAAAGGCATGTTCATGAGCATTAGTCAAGAGCATGCCCATAGGCTATTGTACAAGAGATGATACAACTGCAGGCTTTAGGTTTTATACCTCACACCAACTAGCAAGATTTAATCAAAACGCATTCCACCGTCAATCGTGACCTGCAGAGTTGTGGGTCTTCGTGCACGGGCTCTCAAAGTAGTACTTACACTTTGTCCTGTTTGTTATTTCACATGAATACAGACAGCGAAAAAGGTTCCATAATGCTTACCTGTGATAAAATGAGATTCTGAGGAGGCAATGTAAGAGACTAATCCCGCAATGTCGTCTGGAACCCCCAAATATCCGACGCACGTATTCTTCTTAGACTGCGGAGAAATGCTTGAACGAATTCGTGAGAATAGCTCTAATGTTTTGTCTTACATTTTCGTTATAGCCTCTAGGGTCAGATGATCCCGTCAGCTTCATGCTTGCCTCATTCAGTCCGTCGACTTTGACACTCAGCTTGCATCACGAGATATCTTATTTATAGCTTTACTTACCCATAGCCGTCATAATTGGTCCTGGAGCATAGGCATTCACGGTGATACCGTGGCGTCCAAGTTCGATGGCTAACATATGATTACTGGTCAGAATCGTCGGAAGGCAATGTAGACAGACACCATACCAGCAGACTGTGTAATCCCTCGGACTGCAAACTTGGAAGCAGCATACGCGCTGAGGTATTGTTCACCTGTGCGAAAGAATGTGTGGAGCGTTAGAACCTACGGATGGACATACACACCTCTTTTGCCTACTAGCGAGCTGGCGCCGATGATGCGCCGACCTCGTTTGTGGGTCTCATTCAAGGCAATCATCTTTTGAGCGGCGTATTTGTAGCTTAAAAACACGCCCGTAACATTGACGGCAAAGATCTTTTCCCAGTCTGCCAATGTAGCTAGTCAAACGGAATCAGTACAATGTTGTAGATATAAATCACAAAGCCACATTTCTTACTTTCTACCAATGGTGCGACTGCAATGATACCGGCATTTGCGACCATCTCGAAGTGGCATCAATTATGGGAATAATTCAATACTCGGGCGTCTATACTCACAACATCCAGACCACCAAGTTCGGCCACGACGTCGTCCACTATCTTACAAACGTCGCCCTCGACTGTAACATCTGCAAGGAGTACGCAGGCCCTTCGTCCTGTATAAGTCCTCGTTATCTCCCGGGCGACCCCCTCAAGGTTCGACTTGTTGGTAGGAATATCACTGAGTCCAATGTCGAAGCCATCGGCAGCCAGCCTAAGAGAAATGGAACGGCCAATGCCTTGACCAGCACCAGTGATTAGAGCAACACCTTTAGACATGGTAGCCAGTGGTGCAAGAGTCAGTGTTGGGAATCATGGCCACAGCCTAAGATTATAACTGTAAGGCCAAGCGTCCATCAGGTCATGGGTCTCGAAAATGTTAAAAATAGTACTCACTGGTTGTAAAGTTCAACTTCAAGGCGGACTCGGAGCTGCACATACGCAAAGGCCCGAGATTAGTACGGTATGACAGGGTATGGCTTTGCAGCCATCGATACGAGTGATCCTCTTGAACGAACAAAACATATGAAGCGGCATGATCAATCGTAGTATTAGTGAGACCGAGGAATCGAATTATTAATATTTTTGCATGACCCTTCTGTATTTCAAAAGATAGAATCGAACTGCATGCACATGATTGATATCAATCATATACATCTACAAGAACTACCGTGACAACTCACTGGCAGTGGCTGAGCAAGTGCAACTTGCTTGAACTTCCACGTTCGACGAGACCATCGTTGACGTTGATGAAGTTCAATTTTCCATTAGCTTTTTATCGGCAGAATGTTACCCACTGCTCCTCTGCATAATAGGTAACATATTATGTTATGGCAATATCAGCATTCTCATTGTGGGTCGAGTTTTCGTTCACTGATGGATGGTCATGTCACGGTCATAGGCGGCCCATCATGTCAGGCTGGGCTGATGGTGCCGCGGTACTGTAAGCCTAGTAACGGTTGAGCATTGAGCCGTACTAATTCACCACATTTATTGTTCTAGTACGATTTACGTCTTACATGCATCATTTGCGTTGAACAACATCCAGACTCCTGCCAAATTGTTAATGGTACGCAGATCCCTGGACGTCGTGTGCGGCCAGCCAGTCCAAGACTCATATTTACTATTAATATCGCTAGGTTTGTGGCGCTGCCGAAGTAGCCCTAGTACCCACGCACGTACTACGAACGCCTGCAGTTTTCCTCTCAACACTCAACTACCCACAACCTACCACGAGTCATATCGCTACCTGGCTTGCCTCTCATGAATCGAACAGCTCAGCTTGAGAAACGTTTTCAACGACATCCTCAGAGGCAGAGTTCCTGCAGATGCACGGAGCTACGCTCACTTTTTGGAAGCGATTTGTGCACAGCAAGACCCTGCAGCCTGCATCAACAAAATCGTTGAGAGCTCCCATGGCTCAAGCGCAGTTCAGGCTGCCATGCGTCACAATACCAATACCCAGTTCCTCAATGGAACTGCAACCACACTTCTGTTATATCTATTCCAAGCAACAGACCTCGGTGACGTCTTAGATCACTTACTCATCGCCATAGTTGATCCTCCCATTTTTTGGACTGCCTTCAGCCAAGCATTCGATCAGGGTGAGCTCAGTGAGCCAGCCCAGCAAGCATTCGCGGTACTACTCCATCGCCTCCTGTGCCTCACTACCGGGAATACCTCATCTTACCGTGACCTCGCAAAGAAATCTAGTATCCTTACGAGGCTTCTCGATTCATCGCAATGGACTGTCAAAGATATTGGCTACCGCATCCAACATATTCTTTCCACATTCAAGTCCGGTACACCTGTCGCTGCAGTCGGTGGACCTGGTGGTCGCCATGATAATGATTTCAGCAATTTCAGGGAGATATCCATTCTTCCAACTGCAGATGAGATCCTCTGTCAGCAGCCTCCTTTCATTCGCCCGGGCAGCGTATTGGAGGATCCTGATGGCGAGGCCACTCGTACAGCTGACTACCTGGATAATACCTTTCGCTTGCTGCGTGAAGACATGTTATATGAGATAAGAGAAGAGCTTCAGACTGCCACAGGGAAGAAGAAAGGGCGTTACCGTGGGCTCACCATTGACGGTGTCACACTCAATGGCGTATACAGTGGTACGGATGATAGAAAAACTCGTTGGGGCATCAAGCTCAAATGCCAAGATGATTTCAAGTCGATGAAGAATGTCCCCGACAAACAGCGCAAGACTTATCTCGAAAAAGATCCTGCCGGCGTCAGAATTCTCAAAAATCAGTCTCTCATATGCATACTTTTGGGAAATCAAATTATCAGTCTCGCAAGCGTTCACCGTGTCGAGGCACTGCTTGCGCAGAAACCTCCTGTCATTGTACTTCAGCTGGAAGGGGAGGCTAGCATCTCAAAGACTCTCCTTCAGTTGCAATCATCCGATGCCATTCGACTCATTCAGATTGACACCGCCCTCTTTGCATTCGAGCCGGTCTTGAAGGCTCTGCAGAAGACGCAGGTCATCCTGCTATCGGAGGAGCTCTTGTTCTGGAAGGAAGGGAGCATCATCGGTAGCGTTGCGGTGACCGCGGCTCAGGTTACGCGTCCGCTTGCTATGAATCCGTCCGTGGATTTGAAGCAGCTCCTAGGGCTTTCATCTAGTATTGTCCTTGATAAGTCGCAGGCGGCATCGCTATTGGCAGGACTTACGCAGAAGCTTTCCCTCATCCAGGGCCCTCCAGGTAGCGTTTGTCAACCACCCATTCACAGCCATTTTGTTGACATCCCAAAGGAACTGGAAAATCATTCATTGGCGCGCTACTTGCAAAGGCCATCCATGATCACACTGAGCAGAAAATCCTCGTAGTCTGCTACACGAACCACGCCCTGGATCAATTCCTGGAAGATCTCATGAAGATTGGCATTCCGGACATTAACATGGTCCGCCTCGGCAGTAGAGCAAATGCGCAGGTCGCCCATCTTGGCATTGCGGGCCAGAAGAAAGAGCGTTTCATACGGTCCAAAGCCGACTGGACTATCATCGACAACTTGAAGAGTTCGTCGACATTTCACTGCAGCGCTCTAGAGACTGCCATGAGCAGGTTCATAGCTTCGAAGATCAGCTTCATGGACATCCTCACCTACATTGAATTTCAAGAACCGGCCTACTTCGATGCATTCCACGTATCTGAATTCGACGATTCGGGAATGACTCGTGTCGGCAAGGACGGCAAACCTGTTGACGCTGAGGAACTCATCTTTCGGTGGGCCAGAGGATTTGACGCTGGGCAGTTCAAAGCTGAGCCCAATGTACGTGAGGCGCAAGATATTTGGCAAATGCCTTCGGACGCTCGCCAGAACGTGATGGAGAGATGGAAGTCGGAGATACGCAAATTAATCCTCGAGGAGATTTGCACACTTGGCACAAACTACAACGAATGTCAAGATCAACTGACACGCAAATTTGGGGAAGCCAGGGTGGCAACCCTCACGGGGAAGAGAGTCATTGGATGCACGACGACTGGAGCAGCTATGTTTGCACCGGAAATTCGTGCGGCCAATCCTGATGTCCTTCTCGTTGAGGAGGCTGGTGAGATCCTAGAAAGTCACGTCCTCACCGCGATGGGTCAGA